GGGGGCTTACACGCTTTCCGTTCTATACGATCCCTAGTGCCATTGATTAGCAGCACTACCGTAACCTAGGTGCACTCCACAGACTACCCGTAGGCCACGACCTCCCTATAGTTTACAGCCTCCCTTAGACTCTAAACACTTTACGGTATTTACAGGCTCCCTATACTTTTCGTAGTCTACGGACGCAGGTAAAAACTTCTTATACTGTAGGTAGGCTGTGGACTTCCAATGCTTTACGTAATTCATAGGTTAAGCTAGACCCCCCCTCTACGGACCACTCCTTCGCGGACTACCTAAAAAACCCTTACTATTACTACTACTACGTAAGTAATTAAAGCTATTTAGATTACTAAAATTAATTGAAATCCTCCGATTGCGGCGTTACTACCCTAATATAGTCCTCCGTTTGCGATCCCTTGTTTTTAGCCGGTTCCTGCGCCGTTTCTTATTCGTTAGGTACCTCTTCGTCGCTTGCCTCGTTCTTATATACGATCCTTCCTTTTAACGACCTTTTTACTCGCCGTATATTAGCTATACGTACGAAGCGCTTACCTAGCGCCGGGAGGACCTTCCGACGGGTCTTAGGAGTACTTCTTTCGTTTTTTGCTACCGTATACTGTAGTGGTGCGGTAAGACATGCCCTCTTAATGCATTACGTAATACGCTACGATAGGCCTTATACCTATATAGAGTAACTATAGCTCCCGTAAGTACGGGATATGCTATACTTATTATTTAGTTTACGACCTAATTAGATTGCTATCTTTATTATTTTTACCTTAATTAAAGATTCGTTTCTATTATTAGATTCGTCGTTCTCCGATTAATATATCTATCTTAGTTATAAGCGCTTAAGTTATTTCGTCGTACCGCTATAACCGAATAAGTAACTTTTACGTTTTGCCTCTTTTCTTCCTTTACCTCTTATACCTTCGGGCTAGCGACTACTATAACTCTACGACTAAGGGGCATAGCTAAGATATAATAACTATGTTAGATTCCTTACCTTTCGATTAATATAGCGATATTAGTTTCATCCGTCTTAGATCATCGTACGAGCTATAGTCTTCGATAGAGTGCACTTCCGAGTGAACCTATCCGGGTCTCCAATATCGCGTACGCTCTGCTCCTCCTTAATACTTAACCTATATCTCTAGAGCCGTTATTTTACCCTAGTTACGATCCTAGCTACTGCTAGCCTTCCGAATTAATAGCTTTAAAGCCGGGATTTCGGACCTAACCGTAGTAAGTATTTCTTTCCGAAAGGCATTCCGTAATTCTTAACCGTTAGAAGGCGTTTTAATATACTCTAGAACTAATAATGTCGTAAAATTAGGTGTTTTAGGTCGCGTAACCGACTCCGATAGCTCCGACTATATCCGAGGAATATTCTTATCCTTTAAAACTACGAATTTCGACGAAAGAGGCTTCTTACAATCCCGTAAAATAATCTTAAAGGTCTTCTAGGCGTTCTTAATATTTCGCGAAGTTATCGATTAGATCTTAGTTAATCGGTATGCCTTTAAAATATCCGTTTTCGATAGGTATAAGCTAAGAGCTACGTTTTAGCTCTCCTTAATAAGGTTTTTTAGCTTTTTTTTTAATAACCCGATTGTTACGGTTTTAAGAGCTGTTCGCTGGGTAAAAGCCGTATGTTGATAAACTAAAGCTAGACGAGGAGAAAAAGGAAGAAAAGGTGCGCCGTATGGGCCGTACCTATAATAGCTAGCCTTATCCTCCGTAGGTACTAGTTACGTACTAAGCCCTGGTATTAGCCAGGGCCTTATTATAAGTATAGCCTATTATATAAGGTCCCCTCCCGGAAAAAAAAAGTACGCCCTACCGCCCTTTTTCTTCGGCGTTTAGCCCTAATAACCTAACCCGTTTTCTCCGCGCGCCTTAGGATACGTACCGTATCCTTAGGTACTGCTTCCGTTTCCCGGGGTACGTTACTTACTTCCCGGGTTACTAACTCCGCCGCTTAAGGTATTAGTATATCCCTAGGCCTCTTCCTCCGTTCCGTTCGTTTCCCGGGGTATTAATGCCCTCCGGGTATGGCCTCCTTTCTCTTTTCCCCGGCGGTTATACTATATCCCGGGGTTTCCTCTTCCGCCGTTTCCTTTCCGGGGCCTTTCGTCTCCCGGGGTATTATACCAGGCGCCTCTAGCCTTCCGGCGCTCTTTCCCCGGTCCTACTTTTCCCCGGGATCTCCTCTTCCGTAGGTTTCCCGGGTTTCTTCGTTAACCGGGTACGCTCTTCCGGTAGCTATTCCTTCCGAAAGCTTCCCTCTCCTTATCCTCCTCTTCCTAAGGTACTACCGGCGTTTTAGGTATTATTTAGCCTCCCGGTATATCATTTCCTTAAGGCCGTCGTTTCCGTTTCCCGGGTTACGTTATCCGCTTCCCGGGTTATTATTTTCGTTCCCCGGGGTACTATTATTTCCCGGGGCTAGTTCCGATCTTTTTATTAAACCGTAAAGCTTTAAAGCCTCGCGTACGAAGTCGTTATCGACGCTTACTAGGTCTAGCTTAACTTCCGTAGCTACGGGATCGTCGGTTCGTTTATTTCCGTTTAAAAACCCTCGTTTATCTTCCGCTAGCGGATTCCGTCGGATCCGCTAAAGGACGTATTAAAGTACGCCGTCCGATTCGTTTAAAGACTATCGTTTATCTTCCGTTCGTTAACGGAGCCTAAAGGGATCCGCCTAAAAGCGCGTTAAGGCGCGCCTTTCTATCTACTACCGTTAAAAGGCCTGCGGCTTTTCCTACCGTTTAAAAGCTAAGGGCTTATTCGTATTACTAGCGGAGCCGCGAGGCTCCGCCGGAGGACGTATTAAGGTACGCCGTCCCTACTCGTTTAAAGACCATCGTTTATCGTTCGCTAGCGGAGCTAAGGGCTCCGCCTAAGGACGCGCGAAAGCGCGTCCTCCCGTCTGCTACTAGCGCCGCTAACGTCTTTATCGATGCTAAGAAACCGGTAGTCTTTCCGTAAACCGCTAGTACCTCTAGTATCCTTATCGAAGTACTATTATTTTAGCTTAATCTATCGTTTCGTCGCTATTTTAACGCCGTTCCTTCCTTATATTACGCCTCGGGCGTTCTTAACTCTCGACGAGCGCTATACTTTAGCGCTCTATTATCTTTTTCCGGAAAAAAATTTTCCGCCGTTTTTTAGCCGTAAATTTCGTCGATTTCGACGTTCTTTTATTTCGAAATTACCGTTTGAACTGCGTTTTCTCGGGATCTATCGGTCGTTTCTTCGGTTATCTTATCGGTCCTCGTCCGTGGTTACTACCGGCGCGTATGTCTAAAAGCTAATACCGCTTTTCCGATTATTAACTTAGCCGGCGTAAACGCTAGCATCGCCTTTCCTATTATTAATCCCGCGTACTAAGATATTAGTCTGCCGCTATCGTTATCTCTCGTTGGTTTTCTTTCGTAGGTACTACCGGCGCGTATATCTAAAAGCTAATACCGCCTTTCCGACTACTGGCTTAGTACCGCTTCTTTAAGGGCTGTATCGCCGTTCCTACTACTGATTCCGCTCGTTAAGATACTGCTTCCGTAAAACGATAAAAGAAGGTTGGTCTAGCTTTTTGTCATCAACATACGGCTTTTACCCAGCGAATAGCTCTTAAAACCGTGATACCGATTACTCTTACGTTTAAGACCTAAACGACGTAATTATAATAAGGCTAATAAAAGACGAGCTATATCTTATTCTAAAGATAGCGCTAAAGGAAGTCGTCGTTAATATACGATTCGTAGCCGTCGTAGATTAAGATTACCTATATATTACCGAAACGGGCCCGAATATAAGGAATAAAGATATCTTAAAGCTAATATAACGTAATAACGTTATTAGCTTATTCTTTAGGTAATACCCGAAACCGCTAATCCTTTTATAATTCGCGAGTATCGTTAGGAAATTATTACGCTTAAACGTCGATACCCCTAAAAAGTATTACGGTAGGAAAAGGCCTTTCGCCGTAACTTATATACTTAAGAATAATAATTTATTAGCCTTTTTCGACGCCTTTCTTAAGTACCCTTTAGGTATTAGTATCGGTAATTACCTAATAATTCCCGGTAACGCCTTTAGCGATATTTATTTTATTAACGTTAAAGAAGCGTTCGTTAAGGATAGCTATTAATTAAGAAGCCTTTAACCTATCGAAAAAAATGTTAATATTTACCGCCGTAACGCCTTTAATCCGCTTATAATTAACGACCGTAGCCTTAAACGACCTAACCTCCGGGTTTCGAGCTAGAAAACGGTAATGCTAATACTTTCCTAGCTTTCGAGAGCCGCCGTCGGCATTTAATAGGTACTAAGCTATAAACCTAAACTACGTAAACGCCGGCGCGAAGCCTAACTTAGCCTACCCGATAATCTAACGAATTAATTCGGCTTCTTAAATAAGTAATAAAGCCTAATGATCCTTATTAAGCTCCTTTTTTATCGGTTTATTAGCTATACGGCGTATTAGGTAGGAATAAGAGATATAGGTTCTAAAGGTAGCTTAACGGATACTCGTACCGTATAAAACCATACGTACGGCGGCGTTCACCCGGATTTGGGTATTTTTTAAAGGCATTACGAGAATTAGAAAGAATTTAGAAATAAGTTAATAGTAAGATAAGTTACGAAGGATTAAAACTAATCGAGAAATTATAGGTTATTTAAGTAACGGTATCGCGTTAAAAAACGCGTTCGTAGGTCTAAACGCGGTAGTCCGTAAAGGGGTAGTCCGTAGAGCGGTATCCTAACTTACTAATAACTTCTTAGATTACTAGAAGTATGTTGCGCTCCTAGCACTCTACGCCAACCACCATGACCCTAGGCCTGCGTAATAACGATGGGGGATAGTAAAGTGCCAAATTACGACGACTCATAGGTACACCTACCATCGTTAACCCCTGTCCATGGCTCTCTACGCGTAGCCCCCTATTCCCCCCTGCATATTCGAACTTACCCTCCCCCGCCCCCTCCCCCCTCCCCTAGGGTGAAGCCACCCCCTTCTCCAGTAGATACACATCCACCCGCTCATCTTGCCCTTCTCCGTCGGGTTTCGGGAGCGGAACCGACCGCACGACGCGGTACCGCCACGCGGCGTCCTCGAGCAGCCCGAAGAGGGCGCGCTCGGACGCGTGGCGCGGCTTGGTGGCGAGCAGGACGGACGGCGCCCTCGCGCCCCCGTCCGCCCTCGCGTGCAGCGCTCCGAGCGCCCCGACGAGCGCCGGCAGCGAGTCCGCGTTGTACGTGCAGTCGCTGAGGACGACGAGGTCCCAGGGGCGCGCGGCGGCGGCGGCCGGCCCGAGCGCGCCGTGCCGCGCCGCGTCCCAGTCGAGGTTTTCGTAGCGCAGCGCGACCTCGCGCCGGCCCGGCGCGTCTCGCGCTTGCCGGCGCCAGCGGGCCAGCGCGGTCTCGGCGGCGGCCATGTTCGCGCGCGCGCGCTCCTCGGCCTCAGGCAGGTCCGTCAGCAGCACCGTTGCCGCGGCGGGAGACGAGCGGACGCTGGTCGCGAGGGCGGCCGCGAGGCTGATCCCGAGGATGCCGACGCCGGCGCCGAGCTCGAGGACGTGCAGGCTCGGCCGCGCCAGGAAGGGCCGCAGTACGTCGCCGACGGCCGCCTCCCGCCCCGGCCCGGCGGCCCCCTCCGCTTCGCGCACGCCCTCCGCCACCAGGCACGCCGCCACGACGCCCGCGTCCCACACGTGGCGCGCGATGCTCTCGCCGACGTCCTCCCCGAAGCCGAGGTCGAGGGCGTCGCCGCCGCCGCCGCGCAGCCGCAGCGTGCGCATGGAAACCGCCGCGCACGCCCCGCGCGTCACATCGACGCCGACCGGCACGATCAACGACCCCCCGCGGCCCGCGAGCACGGCGTCGGGCCCGAGCGGCGCCGGCGGGTCGACGGCACGGATGCAGAGCCTGCACGTGACGTCCTCGGGCCGGGCGCGCGGCGCCAGCGGCAGGTGGACCTCGAGGACGCGCATGCCGGCGGACCAGCGGGGCGGGCGGAGCGGCTTCAGGAACGGCGGCGGCGGCGGCGGCAGCGGCGTCGCCTCCTCTCCGGCATCCGCACTGGGTCCCCCCGGCTCCTCGCGCCCGCGCGGCTGGCCGTCGACCGAGACGACCAGCTCGACGGGCCGCGGCGGGCGCAGGAACGAGTCGCCGAGGTCGGTGGTGATGGTGAGCAGGAGCGAGAGGGACGGCGACGGCGACGCGACGAACTTGGCCGGGCGCAGCAGCCGGATGTAGTGCATGGCGACGGCGTCCGATGGCGGTGCTGGCCGACCAGACGGGAAGAAGAGCGCGGAGACCTGCGTCGTGAGACGTTGAATGAAAATTTTTTTTTCGTCGCGTGGGCAGTGCAGATCAGTTTGATGCGTGCGGTGGGCTCACGACCGGTGAGCTTGGCGCAGACTTGGACGTACGGAGACGGGGCGGTCCCGCCTCCGGCTCGGGTACATGGCCGCCCCGGCGAGGATCAAGATCGGCGCTGCACAATTAGGCACGTTGAGCGCTCCGCGAGAGCGTCGATATCTCGGCACGGATTTTTGCCGATGTGGTTGTTCCCGGCAGGGTTGACGGCGGATTGTCGAAATGCTCGTATGGAGATATAGGAGGCGGGTGTGTACGTGTTGTATCTAGGTACCTCGATCGGTAACCGGAAACCGAATTCTGACTGTGCCCGAGGTAACCTGCCTACCAAGGTACTAGGAGGTTACCTAGGTACCTAAGATAGCAGCACTTGTACCCGCTGGGGAGGATCGTTCCCTGCCGTTTCTCCCGTCGCACGGTACTCATGCGAGCACCCTAGGTAGGTACCTCTAGGTGCAGGCACTTTACATTAGGTACCTAAGTAGGCACCCCTCCAGGCGATAAAGGTATGAGGTACATAATATGCAGCTACCTACATGTAGGGACCTTCGGCATAAAGAGGTACCTACCTCAAGGGGCGGGCATTTACAAATCCCATATCAGGTACTCGGTAGATCGGCGGGTCTCGCCATCGACATGGTGAGCGCGGCCCTGTCCACTGTACGTGTAGTGGATTGCCATGCCGATTTGGAGGGAGGGAGGGAATTCTACCTCAGGGTACTTACCCACCTAGGTACCCGCCTAAAGAGGTACCTCCTAACCCAGGCCCTTCTCAGGGAGCCCGTATGTACACGTACCTGTAGGGTATTTTGAGCCTCACTTCGGTACCTTCTCCGTAGCACCCGTCAATCCGAGGTTGTCACCGATAGCCAGACGGCCCCGTGTTCTGCTGCTCGAGTCCCATGGCTGCGACTTTCACTACCACTCTGGAGTCGGTATCTCCGTGTCCCCCCCCGGCTCGGTAGGTAGGTAGGTAACCTGCGCGTCTGCCCATGCGAATGTTGTGTCCCGACGTCGTATGCCTACCAAGTAGGTAGGTATATTCTACGTGCGTACGTAAGGCAGATCGTGTCTGGTTATATCTGCGACGCCGCAATATGCGGGACGCGGCCCATCTGGCTTGCATATAGCTGATGTCAGAGCATCCAGTAAATTTGCTGCCTCCGCCAGAGACTGGCCGTATTTTCCCCAGCTGCGCATACTCGTATCGCAGACGTCGTCCACGGCTTTCCCTCCCTTCCCTCCTCTCCCGTGCCTACACCTTTATAAACGGCAACGGCGGAGATGCAGCCGGGTAAGGCAGGCTCCTTCAGGCCCGTCCGCATCGGGCTGTGCAGGTTAGGTTAGCAGACGAGCAACGGTCTCCCGGCTCTCTCCGGCCATTACCGTCTAGGCTGTACACGTGGCTGTGAAACAGGCGTGCCGCGAGGTTAGGCGCCCATCGAGGGACGAGGGTGGGAGGCACAGCTAGCTGGATCGGAATGGCGAGTCGCCACGAGTGGATGGATGCAAGGCTTTGCCGGGTGAGTAATCGCAGAAGAGGATGGATGGGGAGAAGGGAAAATTTTTCTCTCTTCCTCTCTCGCGTTGTCCCATGGCGATCGGGCGAATCAGAGCCTGTCGTGGCCATGTATCGATTGACGTATACGTCGGACGGGAGAGTGAGGCTGATAATTGGTGCCTTACCGTATGCCTCTCTGTCTCTGTCTCTGCCTCTGCCTCTGCCTCTGCCTCTGCCTCTGCCTCTGCCTCTGCCTCTGCGTGTGTGTCTCTCTCTTGGCTGTCGATCGCCCACCGGCGTGGGTTTGAAGGTGTTTTAGGCAGGACATGGTAGGTAGAGGAAAATGGGGCGCCGAGATGGATACCTACCTACCTACCTACCTACCGACCTTGAAGGTAGGTATCTGCCCTCTAGAAACATTAGGTACCTTAGGTACCTACCTATTAGAGCTGCCATAGGTACAGATAGGCACATGCACCAACCGAGGTAGACGCCGTCTCGGAGGTCAAGCTGCTACCTGCATACCTACCTCTCTATGGGTCTGTCGTGCGCGGCCGCCGTCTGCCAATCTTCAAGCGCGCTACGCAGGGAGCGCAAGCCCACCACCTCATTCCTGCACAGATGATGTAATGCGAGATATCCTGTACCTAGATACATCCGTGGATCGTGATCAACCTCTTGTACGTAACGTTCACCAGACGTCGTTTCTGTCAGGGCTCGGTGGTCGCCCTGTATGGGTACGATGTAGGAGACATTTGTCTGTTATACAGGTCACCTGGCAGATGGCTGTCTATCAGTTTTGCGGGATGGAATTGTATAAGTGCTACCTTAGGTACCTCTGCACGTAGAGAATGTAGGTATCTTAGGTACTTACATACTTATGTACCTCTTAGGTAGGTACCTAGGTAACCTCCCGCTCAGGTCGGTAGGTACCTAAGGTAGGTACATGTAGAGGGGAAAAAGGGGGGGGTTGCGGATGTTACAGGGTGGGCGGGATCCGATAGCGCAATTGTGGGGTAGAGAGAGAGGCACATACATTAGGGTCCCCCTCCATCGCTAAAAAAAAAACCTCTCCTTCTCTCCTATTCCTGTATGTACCTACGTACACGTAATGCCGGGCAAGGTTACGAAAACAGCTAGGTACCCAGTACATACATGCCCGAGACCTCAAGGGGCGATGACTTCGATGGACCTGTACGGACCGTGGGCCAGGAGATGTCTCCGTACGCGCACTCTGCCTCCTCTCGCTTCCACGTCTCGTTTCTCTCGACCCTACACACACGCGGGCGCAGGCGGTTGCAGATGCATTTCAGGAGCTGTAACCTCCTGGCGCACCTTACATCATCCACACCCCTACGCACCTTCGCCTCGTAATAGGGAGAGAGCCGGTTCTGAAATGGTACCGTTGTTTCATGGGCTGCCACCTCTTGGCTGCCTGGTTGGTGGGGAGATTGCTCATGTCCCGCCTCTATGACAACAAATACCGATCAGATCTCTGCAGAGGTCCGCGACGGCCCTCTCGCGCGCCTACCGAGATCCGTAGCTTACCAACACAGAGAAGGCGATGCTAGCGTAGCCCGTCGGGAAGGCTGGCGTTGGAGGAGAGTGCATGGGGGAATCTCCCTTCTACTGCTTTATTTCATTACTCGTCTAGACAAAACCGCCCACTTCTGAACGACCATGTCGAAAAGAAAAAGAGAGAAAACATCGAGACTGGTCCCAAAATACCGGGCGAACCTGGGGATCCCAACGCCGCCATCCTAAAAGCCAGTCGCCTTCGTGTGATCGTACAAAGCAGTCCTGTGAAATGCCGTGTAAACTCCGAGGCCCTCGCCGTGCGAAGGGGCCTCCCCCTCGGGAAGTGACATCAATTTCCATCAAGTCGTTGCAGTGCCTGTGATGCTGATCTCGCACATCTGAGTCTCCCCTTCCCCGGCGAGAAAAATGCCCAGATTGGTATCCACAATCCATCCCGGAACTGTGCTGAAGCCCGAGTCCGGACGCCGAAAGTATTTTGATCAGATGGGAGCCGTCGAGGTACCGAATTCCTGCAGAGGCCGTATGTCCGTGTATTTGCGTGTGGGTATGTATGCGTGCGTGTGTGCGTGTGTGCGTGTGTGTATTCGTGTGCGCGTGTGTGTTCGTCTGTGTGCGTATCCGTAGGCGGAGAGGGTGTATATTTCATCTGGCATGAAAAACGAGCCGGCATGGCCGGATAGTGGCCGGTGGCACAGTAGCGAGAAAACCAACACTACTCATACCCGGAGTCGGTCGGCATGCTCATTATGGCAACATCCCCTTCATCTCCTCGTCGCTCAATCGAATCTCGTGCACTGGCTCTCGACGGTTTTCCAATGGTACGTAATCGCAGTCGACATAAGATGGGACGAAGAGCTCAGGATTCCACGTGAACCCTTGGCTGGATGCGAGGTAAGAGATCTGTGGGCGAGACATACAAGTCAGACCGGTGAACTGGTAGATACGTCAAGTTGCCAGGGAGGGGACTTACCAGTCGGGGGGTGCCGTCAGGATCTCCAATGTTAATGACAGTACACTCGTCCTTGCAGAAAGCAGAACCTAGATGACATATAATATGAGTCTATCCAACTAATAAAGTTGGTGTATTGTAGGCCTCCTCAGGATGGCCCTTAGGACGGTTGAAGGAAGAGGAGGTGGTGGTAGTGGTGGTGGTGGTGGGGGAGGGGGGGGAGGGAAGGCCTACTTAGCAGACTTGGTCGACGGTGATGAACCGACTTTGGCTTGCAGCCGCAATGCTCTGAACCCTCACTAGAAGTGGGTGTTTGAGGAGAACTAGAGTAGGAAGATGAAGAGCTACTGGCAGTCTTGGGCGATTGCTCGTAGTCGGTCGCCGAGGGCCGGCTGGCCGGAATGGCGATTGTAGAAGACATGGTCGCTTTGGAGGAGGGTGACGGTGGTGCCGTAGCGCCTATTCTGCGGCTTGGGACCTGGCGGAGAGAAGGGAGGGGTTTCTGTGGTGTTCTAGGTGAAGTAGCGACAGGACACGACCAGTGGCAGCTGTGTAGGTAGTCGAGTCGAAGGTAGAAATGCGTCAACGAGACGAAGGTGGTTGAGAGGCCCAGAGTGGCAGAGGGGCAGGCGTTGATGACTGCAAGCAGCTGGCTAAGGAGTAAGAGGGTGAAGGAGACCTTGAGGGGGGCCGCGCAGGCAGGCGTGATACCGAGGTGGACTAAGAGACGGGCGACGCAGGGCAGAGTGCAAGAAGCAAAGGATGAACGGGCCTCGAAAAGTTGATGCGATGTGATGTGATGTGACGGATGGTAAGCAGAGAGATTGGAAAAATAATTAGGAGGAAGAAGGGCAAGCGACTTCGAAGTCAGGTGCGTGCCACGGAGGTAGAGGTAGGTAGGTAGGTGGGTAGGTAGGAGGTAGCCAGATACGACGCCTCTGGGATAAGGATGGGATTAATAGAGTAGGAATAGGGATTAGGATAGGTACCTCCTACAGCGCGCCCAAGGTACCCAAGGTAGCTGTGGCTAGGCGGCAAGTACAGGCACCTTAGGTCTAGTAGGCTCGGTACCTGCCTCCCTAGGTACCTAACTCATACATTTCAGGGGGAACCTTACGTAGAAGCATCACATACCTGGTGTACATTAGGTAGGCGGGAGATCAGGAGGTAGTAGGTACCTTACCTTTGCCTATAGATCACTTCCAGATGTCTACATTTATAAGGTTAGGTACGCAACGTCATGAAGCAGGAGGCAGCATATTTATCATGGTATTTATCAAGATCGTGGGCATGAGAATTACATCTCGCACCACAGGCACCTACTACATACACCTGCCTCCTGAGAGGTACCTCTTAAGCAGGTAAATATACCTATGGCTACCTGTTAATGGTACTTCGTATAGTATGGTTGATGCGTGGCCGGATCGGCAGCAATATGTGCATATTACGATGACTCAATGCAGAGCATAAGAGAGCGGCTCAAGCAACAGCTACAACCGCAACTGCAAATTAGATTAGGTGCCTGACAGCATCTGGCTAGGGTTGGAGAGTTTACCAGCACCAACACAGATGCGTTCCGTGCGTTTCGAGGCACATTTCCATGTTTTCAAACCCCGACCCCGAAGAGGTTCTACGTGTAGGTATAATATGAATTTCTGTTTCGTATCGAATTCGTCGCATGCATTCAGCATATAGGTATGTGTGAGGTATGTACCTAGCTATGTGCATGCATAACTCTGCCGGGACAGCCATGGTCCAGGTCATAACTCAGAAGCTCGAGCCTTCGCAGCTTGGACCGGGTCGGGCGAGACCGGAGGGGAGGGGGGAAGCATAGGATATGCTGCTGTTGGGTCACTAGCTGTCTGTGCGGGTAGTGCGGGAAAGATTACTTGAGCATCCGTCGAGGCGATGAGGTCATACTCGTCACATTTTAGGCGACGTCAGGTGACGGACTATCTATTAATCCTGGCACCGTCTTTGGGTACAAAGTACATGACAGCCCGCTGCAAGGCGCCAGAGGCTGGCGTTGGCATCGGGCGCCTCGAGAAGAAGCTGCTGATAAGCAGCTAGGCACCGTGACAACGCAACGTCGACTCGTCCTCAATTCTATCCTCCTCCAAACCGCACACCTACTCTTCCCGCCTTCCACGCACCCACGATCCCCCCAACCCCCCTTAGCTCTGCGATTCGACGTGAATACATAATAACTATTTGAAAAAGAAAAGAAAAAGGGAGGAAGAAAGACGGGGGCATAAGAATCACCACTAGAAAAGAAGAGGCAGACAAGATGGGTGACGTACTGGTAGAAAACCCGGCCAACGTCGTGGCGCCACACAACAAACCCATCCCGTCCAATATCCCCAATGTCGAGAGCATCGAGGGCATACCCGCCCAGGGCGGCGACGAATACGCCGTCTTAAAGAAGCTGCAGAGACATCTCGAGTATATCCAGCTGCAGGAAGAGTACATCAAGGACGAGCAGAGGTAACAGGACACCGCCCAAGATGCAGCTTCGCTTCCCGCGCCCTTCTAACACATCGCCATCCCTACAGGAGCTTGAAACGCGAGCTTGTTCGGGCCCAGGAGGAGATAAAGAGAATTCAGAGCGTGCCTCTGGTTATCGGCCAATTCATGGAGGCCATCGACCAGAAGTAAGTTCCCACCGCCCGTCCCTGCTCGTATGTGCGTGGGCGAAGCGCGTGGGCACCGACTGACGTGGCTGCTACCAGCACCGGCATAGTCCAATCGAGCACCGGCTCTAACTACGTCGTGCGCATCTTATCCACCCTCGACCGCGAAAAGCTCAAGCCTTCGTCTTCCGTCGCTCTCCACCGCCACTCCAATGCCCTCGTCGACATCTTGCCCCCCGAGGCCGACTCCTCCATCGCCATGCTCGGCGCCGACGAGAAGCCGGACGTGACCTACGCCGACGTCGGCGGTCTCGACATGCAGAAGCAGGAGATCCGCGAGGCGGTCGAGCTGCCTCTGACCCACTTCGACCTCTACAAGCAGATCGGCATCGACCCGCCGCGCGGCGTGCTGCTCTACGGCCCCCCGGGGACCGGCAAGACCATGCTGGTCAAGGCCGTCGCCAACTCGACGACGGCCAACTTCATCCGCGTCGTCGGCTCCGAGTTCGTCCAGAAGTATCTCGGCGAGGGCCCCCGCATGGTCCGCGACGTGTTCCGCATGGCCCGCGAGAACTCGCCCGCGATCATCTTCATCGACGAGATCGACGCCATCGCCACCAAGCGCTTCGACGCCCAGACCGGCGCCGACCGCGAGGTGCAGCGCATCCTGCTCGAGCTGCTCAACCAGATGGACGGCTTCGACCAGACCTCCAACGTCAAGGTCATCATGGCCACGAACCGCGCCGACACGCTCGACCCGGCCCTGCTGCGCCCGGGCCGGCTCGACCGTAAGATCGAGTTCCCGAGCCTGCGCGACCGCCGCGAGCGCCGCCTCATCTTCACCACCATCGCCAGCAAGATGAGCCTCGCGCCCGAGGTCGACCTGGACTCGCTCATCGTCCGCAACGACCCGCTCAGCGGCGCCGTCATCGCCGCCATCATGCAGGAGGCCGGCCTGCGCGCCGTCCGCAAGAACCGCTACAACATCATCCAGGTCGACCTCGAGGACGCCTACTCGAGCCAGGTCAAGGGCACCAGCGACGAGAACAAGTTCGACTTCTACAAATAGACGAACGCGAGGACGGCAAGACCTGGGGGGAGGGGGGAGGGGGCGAGCAAGTCGATGCGCTGCGTCTCCGCTTGCGCGGGAATCGTGGCGGGCCGGGCTCGCAGCGCGTCCAAAGAACTCGCCCTCGGAGCGGACGGGGGGGAAGGAGATTCGAAGGCGCCTCGGGACGTGCGATGTCCTAGCTAACCACACCGGGCTTGTGTGTGAGGACGGGCGGAGGCGCGAAAACGGGTCGCGGGACGCGGCAGGGCTATGCCGATGAGTATGGGTACGGGAACGGCCGTGGCGGGAAGAGAATAATCCTGATGTAAACTGTATCATAGCAATACACACACGCGTGCGCGCGCATCCTCACGCGGCGGACATTACAATGTGCCTGCCGCCGTGGTTTTCTTTTCCCCTTTTCCACCCCAGACGCTGGCAGGCAAGTCAGTTCACCTAGTGCTCGTAGTCGGGGCCGCGAGCAGTCCTACGTATGCCGGCCCGAGCACGGCCTGGGTCGGGTACGGTTCGGTAGTAGTAATAGACAAAATCCTATTCGCCTCGTCTATATTACGGTCCGTCTGAGCAATGTATCTTGTCAATTCAAGGGAACAGGGCCCCGTGTTGCCGGAAGCCTGCCAGGCCAGGGGCGATCACGAAGTCCGCTGTTCTCTGTTTGTGGGAGTAGACATAAATAGCTGTGCGCATTAGGTTGCGCGCGCACCTGAAGTGGTCCCTTAAACCTGCCCTCTTGCCATCCCCCCATCCTCGCTCTCGTCATTATCGTCATCGTCATCCTCGTCCCCGCATATTTTGCAAGTTTCGCCGCTTACAACTAATATGTCCTTACCGACGCTACCATGTCTCCTATTCCATGCTGTCCCCGTCTACGTATCGATAAACCCTTCTAGGTATAACCGCACCCTCCCTCTCCCCCTCCCTCTCCCTCGCTCCCTTATATATGCATTATCCAGCCTTTTCCTCCCTTCCTGTTGTATGCCGACTTTGATTCTTTTTTTTTCTCCCTCCCTATATGCCATACCGTGTCCATGTGATTACCATAGGCCGCGATTCCTCGTCTTTCATAGAACTGGTACCGAAAATCTCACGAGGCATAAATATTGCCGCGAGAGTATTAATACAGGGTGTGTTTTCCTTCCGGGGAAGGCAAAGTGAAAAAAAAAGAAAACCCTAGAACAAAATAAAGGAAATCAAAGGTTGAGAAATAGGGGTATCGTGGATATCAATATGTCCAACAACACAACTGTGTTGAACAACGCTCCTGAGGGTATCTTGTCCACTCGACAACTTCGGTATGTCTTCTATCATTACGTTTTCGCTTCCTGCGGTTGGAGTAGGTAGTGCATCTCTTGGGCGAGGTAAACACCCGTTGATAAGTCGTCGCTAGGGATTGGGAGGCTAAGGCCCGGTAATCGGCAGTCGCAAGTCGGGTGGAATCAAGAGCCTAGGACGACCCCCAACTCTAGAAGTAGCTGCACGAAGCGAGAATGCAACTCGATGAAGAAGTCGGGGAGACCCACTAGCTCGGCCAACCCACGGGCTTTGGGTGCGAATCCACCAGGACCCATGGATCCGCCCATGCGTTGAACGAAGCCACCGCGCGCACCACCTGTCAAGAAGCTGTTCGTGTCCGCTATCCTCTCCCTCTCTCGATCGCGGTCGCCGGGTCCGCCTCCTAGGCCCAGCCCGACACCACTATCACGAGGACCCTCCCCGACATATCCGACGTGACCGTACGCGGCATTTAGCGCGGCAATTGGGCTGTTCGCTTCCTCGCGTTCGCGCTCCCGCTCGGCTTCGATTTCGGCTAGCTCTTGAATCCAGTTTGCCAACTCGCGGAACGCGCCGGATACGAAACTGAAGCTCTTCATGGCGAGGCGTTCGCGGTGGGTGCTAAGCGCCAGGAACGCGTAAACCCTCTTGCGACCGCGCGCATGCACGTCGGGAATTCGGAATATATAGGCCGTTGTGTAGCCAGCCAGGGGATCACCGAAAAAGATCGGGCCGCCATTAGATGCAGATTGGGGGCTGGGTGCTGTGGTGAGGTAGCCTGGGCCATGGCCAATCGAGTATGGGAATGAGGGCAGGGGAGCGGGAGCGGGCGCAGAGAGGGCAGAAAGTTGCTGCGCGGTTTCGGGTCTTCGGGGTAGCGTTTCGAAGGAGAGTGTGCGCAAGCACGAGGCGCGAACAATCGAATACGTGGTCGGTACGACTGATTCGTGAGTTGACGTGTAATCGAGATAATGAGTGTGCTGTGTCACGTTAGACCTAGAGGATGATAGGCTTGAGCGCGATGTTGATGTGGTTGGTCGGCGGCGAGAACTCGAACGCTTTATGTTATCTCTGGATACTGCATCTTCTTCCGTGTCGGAGGGGTACGACGATTGCGGATTAGAGCTCGGTGGACTGATCTCGCTGCTACCTCCGAAGACACGGGCATACGGAGCACGTGTGCGCAGCGTAGGACCCCGCTGATCGGGTTTGGGGTCCACGGCTGGAGCCGTATCCTGGCCCTTGCGACTTTGAGGGTCTTGTCGCCTAGGGAGTGTAAGAGCACAATTCTGACATGGGTTCGCTCGCTTCGTGTCGAAATCATCGTAGGTTCGACGGAAACTCGAGTCGCGTCGCAAGGCACCCTTGCCGTTTGTTTCGCTCGGGTTTGACGGTGTATTCTGTGGGCTCTGCGGCGGAGTCTGAATAGCGGAGGCCATAGTCGGGGACGCCGCAGTAATCGGCTGGCCCGTACTGCCAGGCCCAAGCTTCGACGCCCGAATCAACGATTCGCGGTGTGTTTGCGCCTCCTGGTCAGTGACGGGAGTGGATGAGCTGCGAGGTGCTCCGATAGTCAGCTTTCTCAGGGTGTCGGTAACAGCCGCCTGCGGATCGCGCGCCGCGCCGCTCGTTTGTGGTCGTGCCGGTTCGATGGTATCATCGCAGCACTGCCCGCAGGGCACCGGCAGACCCTCAGTGACCATGAGAGGGGTCGGGCCATGTAGATCGCAGTAGTGCGCAAGGCATAGCTGGATATGGGAGGTCAGCTGAGGGAATCCTGTCGGCTTCGGAGAGACGGTCATGGTCGGCCTAAGGACGTGAGTGGAAACAAGGTGGGGCGGTTTGGTTTTCACGTGTCAAAACAGCATATCGAAGGGAGGTTAGGATAATAAAGCACGCGCGGAATTTCCGCGGGAAATAATGTGTCAGGGCGTGGGAGTCGCGCGCAATAAAAATGCACTTGGCTGGAGCGGAGGGAGGAGTTAAACTGAGGGCGAGTGACCATTTAGGGACAAATAGAAAAGGGATCGATGGGCCGGAAAGTGGTCTTTGGGGCAGGAAAACGTCACTGTCGCGCAAGGGGGTAAGAATGAAGCGAGCCCAGATTCCAAGCCCGTTGACGACTTAGGCATCTGCAGTAGTCGCGGCCACGTACCAATCAAGCCTAAGGCCAGGGGCATGTAGGAGGGCATCACTTCGCCCCGTGCCGTCGCTGTGGGAGAGAAATGGGGGAAGGGGGACGGGGGGAGAAGGGGGGGACGGGGATATCAAACATAAGCAGGCGAACACGGCGCCTGGGGGCTGACGAGTTGAAGGGAGTGGGGGGACGCACGAGGCTTTTAGGTTGGGCTGGAAGAACGAGGCGGTGAGGGGATTGCAGTCGCTGGGAGGCGGGAAAGGAGGAGGAAGATGAGTGGTGGAAGTATGAGATGGTGTGGGATACGAGTGTTTAGGGAAAGAAGCAAACCAGAAGGCCCGAGAAAAGGGCCAGGCATGCAGATCAGACCAGTGGAAAACTGGCCTATATCTCGACACACGGGCACGGGGTAGAACGGTCGAGGGGGGAGGGAGGGGACAGAAACACATTTGGCCGTGCTCGCAGTCATGGTGCGATGATGGAAGCATGATCGGGCTGACTAAACATATCCAAAGGGTGACGATATAGAGGGCGAGGAGGGAGGTGGAAGGGGAATACGACGAGGGTACTCACTATGGACGTCATGGCGTATCCTCCAGCGCTGTGGAGCGTCGCACGGCGGGGTTGTCGATTTATGGGGTTTGTTGCGAATGGGAGCCGGCACCAGCAGAGGGAAAAATAAACGTGCGACCCCCAAATTATCGTAATCTCCCCTCCCACGCGCCCCCGGTCCTGACTCGACCTGACTCTCGTCCTCCCGTCGAGGCCGGCCGAAGTAACGGTCGAACCCGAAAACGTGTATATTATCTCGTTCGCGAATCGATAACACTGAATATTCCGGTTCGCCTAAGCAAGCAGCGGCGGTCGCGGCCGCGGTCGCGTTGGGGGCCAGGTGTGGCCAATGACGGCGATTACGTCGGGGTCTTTTCGGGTGCAGGAAAGGCGATGGGAAAAACGAGCCCTCGGAGGCTTGGGCACTTGGGCACTTGCTAATCCTGGTGTCGTGTATGTGTGTGTGCCGATTAATCACGAGCCACAGACCAAGGAAATGCGGCACAGGATGACAGGACGCTGCAACGAATCGCCAATCGGCTTCCGGTCCTGAGATATTGACCCTTGTGTTTCGCTCTGGTTGGTCGACGGACTTAAAAGGTACACCCTTGGCGATTGCGGAGTGAGGGTGTCTTAGGGAGGGTTAGGCCAAACAAGTAGCGCTAACAGCTGCGAAGCTGACCTCCAACGCTCGCTACGGGGATCGAGGAGTAGCGGCAGCAGTAGCAGCGGCAGCGGCACCAGGTAACGGAGCAGAAGCAGGAAGAGGGGGTGGACGAAGATGAGAAGGATGAGGTCATGTGCGTAGGATCGCCGGATGAAGGTGGGATGGCGGAAAGGTCCGCGGCAAGTCGACACAGAGTCGAGTCGGACTAGAAGTTAAGTCGGGTTAGAATTAGAAGGGGGGGGGGGGGGGGGGGGGGGGAGACGGGGCCGGCAGAGAGGTAAGCAGAGAAGACGGCGCTGATAAAATAAAGAAAAGAGGGAGGGGTTGAGTGAATACAGACAGAGGAGGACGAGGGCGAGAGAGACAGAGAGCGGAGGGGAGAGAAAGAGAGGGTAGTGAATTGGGCAGGAAGAGGAAGATAATAAAAGAGTAGGACGAGGACGAGGACGAAAAGTGTTGTCGCTCGCTGGTTGGGCCTCCTCTTAGATGAAGGGGAGGCAGGTGCAGCTCGAGAGGATAAGAAAACGAGGCAGGTACATTACGTACCAGGTATATTATACAATTCCAAATCGAGGACGCTGCCTTTTCCCTCATGCCTTGGCCTCCTCGTCCCCGGCGTTGAGGCAGTAGGTAGCGATACGGCCCCTAGCAGTAATGTATGCAATATGTCACAGATCGCGAGAGGGAGGTATGCGGCAGGAGGCCCAGGACCGACGCAAAGGGCGATGAAGGTGTGGTTCCGGGTGTGCGAGGTTAGGTCAGGCAGGTCAGGCAGGTCAGGCAGGCCAGGTACCTCCGCTGAAGCTGCGCACCAACGTCGGTTTTTCCCTCCCTTTCCTTTTCCCCTTCTTCCCCTTGGCAGGGCAAAGTAGGTCTCGTTATTTCAACTCCTGTCTCTCCTTTTTTTTTCTCCCCCTCGGCCTCGCTATCCCTCCTCCCGGCCAACAACGAAGGGCGAGTGCGGTCGACGGTTGAGGCGTCGCGGAGAGACGGGCCACTGAGGAGTCTGGTGAGATCAAAGCCTGGTGAAGGTCGCCAATGGGGTGGTCTGCCTTTTTAATTCTCACCACCGTAGCGGTTCCGAAAAGAGACCAGAAAAGAAAAAAAAGCGGAAAACCAGCCGTTAGCACCCAAACTACGACGGGACCATGTAATACTGCCGGGTCCTGGATCCTTGGGTGCTTTCCAAGCGGCGTCGTTGCTGCGGAGCGACTATTTTTCTGGGTACCTCTAAGTGGTAGGCCCGAGGCGGACCCGTGATGGACTGGGTCGGGTTGGGATGGGAGACACACAACCATCCCCAATCGACCTAGTTCGTATTCCCGGATACACTAGCCGGTAGGGACTGGCCTTCTAGAAGAGCCACTAGAATCGCATGCGGTGTTGGGAAGGCCGAGCGAATCTCTTATGTAGGTATGCAGATGCGGGACTGCCACACCGACGAGGCGGTGCTAACTTATTATCGACCAGGTTTGCCCAGTCGACTTGTCGCGTGTCGGACCTGGGCCGGGGTTGGGACAATTAAATCGCTTGCTGCGAAGGATTCCGTCGCTCGGTCTTCGCTGTCATGCGATGGGCAGATGGGATCAGGCCCCAAGATCTTATTTTCCCCCGAAGCACCTTGACCGGCGAACAAAGCCGCGCGAGCACGGTTGGCGAACAAGCCTGGACGAATCACAACAAACCCGTGGGGGAGAGAACTCGGGGCCGTCGAGCACGCCGAACCCAGACTGGACAGAGGGCGCCCCGGCTTGCCCAGGTTCGCTACTACGTCGTACCTACGTATGAGCAAGCCAATGGTGGCCGATGGAGCAGAATTTGCCGAGCAGCTGGGGTGAGTCGGGTTAAGATGTCGGTCGGATTTGGGAATCGCTCGATGGGGAAGCACTTAGTAATGGAATCGCTAACATAGGAGCTCGCTACTTCGTTGGACCCGGGGGATCAGACCCAGCAATAACAACAAAAGCCACGCGCGAAGATGCATGTGAAGAAGGCAAACCGGCACGGGACACCCTACATCCCTAATATCTCCCGCGATATATTTCCCACCCACTGCTACCCACACGCATCTGTATACATCGGACGATCTCAAGTACCTACGTAGCGCAGACGCTGTCAAGCCGTAGTCGTCGCACATCCGTCCGGACGGATCGTTCCTCGCCAAACCCCCATTGGTCTATCCGTCCCACCCGTCGGATATGCTCTCCTATAGAGAGGGTACTGTGACGCGTGGAGTCGGAGGATTTGGCTATCCACGACAGGGAATCCGGAGTCAAGAAGGGAGGGGAGGGCAGCCCTCGATCAGGAAAGGCAAGCCAGCCAACTCCGAATCGTGGTTGGAGACGATGGTAATTATAGACATCCGCGCTCCCGTTCGTCGGAGTTTGTTCCCGGGGGGGGGCACCACCACCACCAGTGCTTCTGCTGCTGCCACTACAACGAGCACGGCGGCGACCACTCGTACGGCTACTGCTACCTAAGTATGTATGGCATTGCCGCCGCGAGCATGCCTATACAGGGATTGCGCCCAAGCTTCGGGGATAAAGATGCGTGACATCTCGTCTCGTTGCGACGTCGAAATCAGGCCCGACAAATCGGAACGCCGTGCTGCGGCATACATACTGGTCAGCACGTCAAAAGGCTCGGCAAATTCGATAATAGGTAACAATTTTCGTTGTGGTGTTGCTATAGATAACCTGGCGGCTCAGCTGTCGTACCACTATAGTACCACCGATAAAGAGCAGGTAGGTCGGCAGGTATACGCGTGCTACGTGGGACGGACTCGTCTACCTACAGAAACGCGCAGCGTCGAGTCCGCCCGACTCTTTATTACAGGTACCTACATCGTCGAATCAGCTGGCTGCCATTGGCGGATATGTGCAGTTCCCACGGGCTGTGTGTGTAGGGTACCTAACCTAGGTACCTATCGAGTACCTCCGATACCAACTACCACCTAGTAGGTTAGAGGTACCTAACCTACCTGGACCTACCTGGACCTACCTGGACCTACCTGACCCTAGGTACCTGTCCTCTAATATCGGTAGGTACCTGTACCCAAGACACCCATCTGACGATGGCTTTTCGCTTCTGTCTTCGGCATAAGGCTCGCCAATTACCCGTGCCGTTCGGAGAGCTTCACCACCACCGCTTTTGCTCTGCCACGGCGCAGCGTCGTTTTAGACTTGACAGCGCCCGTCCTACCCGTCCTACTACTCTCTGACATCGATGAATCAACACAACCCACAAGTTGCTATCCGTCTCCGCTCCCGGGTCGAGGCACCTCCTCCCCCCCCTCTTCCTGAACCATAGCTGTCGTGGGCTTGGGCTTACCTACCCACCTGCCTCCCATCCTGGATGCCCGCGACTGGCGCTCGGGACGTTCGGAATCGCCATCCACAAGTCGGAACGGTAATGCGTACACATCAATTTCTACCTAGCCAATACCTAGCCTACATACGTACGGGCTTACCTGCCTACATATATGCCTCATCCCTAGCCAAGCCCGCGCCGCCCAGGGCGTGCCAACCCGCCATTCCCCTTGGCTACTAGCTCTGCCGTCACCACCGCCTTCTTATCTACGATGCGTTACATGCCTAACTCCAGGCCGAGTCGCTCTGCGAAAAGTGGATAGAGACACACGACTCGCCATGACAAGACGGTTGTCAGGGCGTAGGAATTTTATCTCAACAAACCTCTGCGCAAGCCAGTTTCCCCAATGTCTCAACACCACCACCTCGCGATCTACGTGGCCCGCCGGAGAGGAATGGATGTATCATACCCGAGCGTCAAGCATTTAGACCGGCGCGTGGCTGTCAGGGATCCGAACCTCGACCCGTCATTATTGCATGCAGGCAGCCATGAGCCAGCAAGCTCCCACTCCACGCCCTCTTCGCAGTCATAGCGCATAGGTAGGTACGTGAATCGTGCGTACCGTGACGACTCCGGGCTGCCTCAGTCGCTGGAAGAGCCATCCGCCGGTGAGTCCCGTCACACTAGCAGTACGCTGAGAACATCGTAGCAGACGTGTGTGTATAGTATCTACCTAGGTATAGCTGAGATGGCGGCCTGAGCCGCCAGGACCACCAATGCCTCGAGCTCGGTTCCACCAACCGCCCAACCTCACATGTCAGGTAGTTAAAGTCGCGGGCGCGTTCGCGGGTATCAGCGACCCCAACTTATCCGCAGCGCGCGCAGGGTACTGTCTCGCCTGCGCTTGACCCGGGACGATGTCCTACCAATTTAGCCAATCTTCCCGGGAGTCCGGGGTGCGTCAAGAAGCGCACACGTGGGCAACGCGGGTCAGGATGCAACCGTGGTGTACAGCAAGGGAAATGTCAGCGGCCAGACGACGCATGACGGCCAGGGCCATGATGGTAGTTCCTCACACGTCTCTCTCCTCCCTCCGAAAACTCGCTCGGGGCCAGCGTGCACGAAAGGGTAGGATATTCACGCTTACGCCTACGTGAGCAGGTTGCGGCGAGTATGCGCCGCTCTGGTTCCCCCCTCGCGTCTTCCACATCCCTCTCCGGTGCCCTCGGCTAGTCGCAGCCATCATCCCATCGCCTGCGTGCTTACGTCCGTATATCCCAACCCTAGACTGCGGCGCGGCTCGATGCATTTGCCTATGCGCGTCTCCCGCTCGCATCCATCGTCTAGCCTTGCTATTATTATCATCATCGGTGGGATGGAGGGTACTGCCGAGCAGGCACCAGGGAGGGGAAGTGTCGTTCCGGACTCCCATCGAAGGAGACTATCCTTCTGCCTGCCTCCATTTTCCCCCAGCTTCCCCGGGCTCTCTCCCCGGGCCGCGAGCTCAACAACCGGCCTCAGCCGGTTCGGCTTCGTGTCCCGTCAGCTCCGCACGCTTTGACACCCGACCCAGGATTCTGAGGCGTTGGATCACTGACGGCGGGAGGGGGGAGAGAGGGTATCGAGCCCATGTCGACGCTAACTGCGCGGCCCATCCAATGACGTCGCCGGTATTTTAGATCGTCGCGTCGTCATCGTCGACAGCAACGTGCGTGTGCTTTTGCCATCGGGGCCTGGACCATCTTGTCGCGGTTTAGCCTAAAGCACCGCTCCCCCCTTGCCTCTCCCCAGGGTCATGGGGGAAGAGGGCCAGATTCGGAAGCACCCCTGCAGCCAGGCCACTTTCACCCCGGGGGCTAATTCTTGTTCTGGAAGTCGATCTCTTCGCCCTGGACACGTCGCAGTCGACCCTGCGTAACGATGTTTGGCGTCTTCCCCCTTTCGAGACGTCGCCCCTCGGATTAGGAAGGTTGCATACCAGCTGTTACAACCACCACTTTGAACGTAGGCAGTACTACGCGGCACGCGTGCAGTATACTACTACTACTACTACTACTCTATACCTACCATTTCTAACGAAGGGGGGGAGACACTCGTTCTTCACACGTACGGCGGGGCAAAGCTAAGCAGTGCTCGAATTTGGGGTCGACGCCAAGCAATAATCTCCAGGCAACCTGGCTTTTTTTAGATCCCGCCGCCTACTACAGGTAGTGTACCTACATATAGCGTGCAGCCTGGATATGTAGACGGGAGTTATTCATGTTGTAGCCTCCCGTTCTAGACTTTCCCACATGTTGGCCCCGAATTGGGTTCGACAGCGCCGTTGCCTTCGTTTTCCGTTACAGATGTGAAAGCGCTGCGTGTGCGCGGCAACCCATCTTGACATGTAGCTACGGCGCCTAGGGATTTCGCAGGGTAGATTCCCTTCCCAATTTGCGCCAAGTTTCACCGGCCGCTTTACGCGTTCCTTACGTTTATTAGCTGTCGTCATTTGTCCGCATTCTTATCTAGGTATGTCTATATTATATATTTAATGTGTAGAGGTGTGTAGGCGCGAAAACCACGACAAGACTGGGAACTGAATCAGCATGCAGTTCTCTCGTCGCGAGCATTAATAGCGACGGATGTCGGGCGTGGTAGGGCGAGGGGCCTGCTTCTCGACCGAAAACGAATGTTCATACGCGGCGGTAGAAATTACCAGTCGGTTCTCTCTCTTCCTACGTGGAGCCCTTCCGCTTTGCATAGTATTGAGCGAAGTCGGTGTGGGGCCAAGAGTTTACGGCGACGGGTTGCGCTAAACTCACTCTCAAATAATAGGAAGCGGGAGGAAGAAGGCAGGTAGCGTTATTAGCAGGGCGGAGTTAGCTAGGACGGCGCGTTTATGTAGGTAATTAAGAGCATAGAGATAAACTTGCTATACACCTAACCGAGAGCAAGACTTGGGGTTTATATGAGTTTCCCGGCGAGTAACTTCTCTAACGGCAGCGATAAGAGTCCGAGCATGTGAGAGTCCGTAACAGAGCCGATACTTAACCGGAACTCGACTAGCCAAGTATAACCCCAACGCTGAAGTGCCCCAGATCCAACGCCTAGAGTAGTGGTGGTGGTGGTTAGATAAACCCGTATGACGCCACTTCTTACCACGCTTTCCAGATATTAAAGTAATTTGAAGTTATGGAAGGATGCCACCAAGGCCAGCAGTAAGACCAACAGTAAGACCAATAGTCAGGACGGTGTCAGCAACCCGATGTCTCGGTACACAATCAAGCCGCTTATAGCATCTGTGTAAGGCCATGCCATTTGCCCCCCTACATAGGTCTCGATCGGCAAAGTGGCCGGGTCTCTTCTAGCTAATGAGAGGCAGAAAGACAGAGCAGCTGCCAGAATTCCATCCTAGGTTATGGCTATAACAGCAGTCTCTGTTCTAGTAGATCTTACCAACTACAGGGGAACGTGTACCTATCGATTATTGGTCGTTTATACCAGCACCTAGGCTGATGTTTCCCGCACGCTACTTGCACTGGCATCCAGACTAAGATCAAGTTTCCCTCTCTCTTGCATTCAAAAGATTGCCATTGCCGCATTACATGTTATATATCTATCCCCTGACGGTTCGTCCACCCGGGCCCTTAGAGATTGACGGTGACCGGGACCGCGGCGATGCGATTTTTCTTCTGCCAATATACATGTATAGGCTAGATGCATGGGATCGGGTATATGCAGCTAACGTATAAGCAGCTTACTGGGATCTAACAGGCAGAATATTAGGCAACAAGCACGGGGACCTCAGGCTAGCGCTGTTGTCCAAGTCGTCCGTTCTATTATATTCGTACAACTTGATTACTCTTCGGCTGCTGCGTCCTCGACTTGGGTACAGCTACACGGTGTTTTTTGGCTGCGACGATCTAAAACTCGTCCGCGGCGATCCGATCCGTCCTCGCCATGTGTCACAATCAGCAGCTCCCGGCCTCCCTACATTCAGGCGGGGCATCGGACGAAGAAGAGTCCGATTCGTCTTCGGAAGAGAGAGAGCCGCCCTATACGCCCGACGAGCTCGCCCACGTCGTACTCGAGTTCTACAAATTCCTCACCGCTCTGCACATAGACGAGACCGCGCTCAAGATCCCTCCTCCTGGCGGGTGGCCGGGCCTGACCCCGGAATCCTGCGGACACCACAAATCCGACTACGCCATCGGGGTCCTCCGCCTCCTGCCTTACATTGAAGAGGATCGTGGCTTCCACCTGCATTATAAGTCGTATCCCATCGACTACAGCGTCTACAAGGCCGCCGACTTCGAGCGCCTGCAACCCTGCGGCGAGGACATCGAATTCTGGACGGAGGAGGGCGAGATCGCCGACCCGGCCGACGTCGTCTGCCTCGCCCTGGGCCGCGAGAGCTACGGCCGCACGCTGTTCCTGAACGTCAGGGACGGCGAGATCACCGAGGACATGGTGCGCGCCCAGACGCTGAGCCAGGTCGACGTGCAGTACTACTTCGAGACCCTGGAGAAGGCGTACCGGACCCTCCGGCTCATCCCCTGCCAGGGCAGGGTCACGATCGAGGCGTGGGACGTGGCCGAGGCGACCGACGAGATCACCGAGGAGCAGGTCTGCGCCCAGGCGGACGAGTGGCTAACCGACTTGGACGTCCAATATCTGAGGCAGCTCTACCGGCGGCACGGGTGGCCCGATTCGTTCCGGGGGGCCGACGCCCTGAACGCGGTCCACGAGCTGATAAAGGCGACGGGACCACGGCGTGGCACATGGGAGTCGTGGCCCTAATAGGTCCGAGCTACCTTACCGCGAGGATTCTAATACTACGGCGGGCGCTATTTTCCTTCACACTATTATATATAAGTGCAGAATTAATTCGATGATGTTATCAGCCCAAGGTTGTGTGATCTACGAAATAATTCTTGATATCCTTGTAGCGAGTGCCTCCCCATGCTACTTGACAACGCGGGCGATGTCGCGGTACACGCAACAGCCGCGATTAGTCACTTACATGATACACCCATGCTAGAAGAGAGGCGCTACACGTTTCGTTAACCAACTTGATGGGGCCGTAAATAAAGAAATTGCCGAGCTTAATTAAGAGCCTATGGAGGAAGAACAGGCGTTAGAAAACTACGTGCGATGTTCCTTTATAGTAGATCTAATAAGCTAGACTACCTCTCAATAGGCTACCTACTTAAATTAAATACTCTTTGGTGATCATTACCTTTATAGTTGAAGTTAATTTCATTATTCAAATTAAATAAAATTCTTTAGCCATAGTATTATAACTTTAATATTGAACAGGAGCAGCGTGGGCACGCTGTTGGAGACCCGTATGGCAATGGTCAACCCAACTGCCAACAACTGGCCTAGTGCCGATGGAACTAAATCACAGCTGTTTACTGTGATCAGTTGATTGGCTAGCTGAAACGGCATCTAGGAAAGGAATAAGAAAAAGAAGGCTAGAACGAGGTCGAAGGCATGGCAAGAAAAAGGAGTAAATTGCTGTAGGTCCTGATGCCTATGGGTCTAAGTCTGATCTATGAAAATCTGGGTGCGAGACCCATACAAATACTCATCCAAAAGGCTACGTGACCTAGTCCCACCGCACCACTACAATATAGTTCTCTGTTTATAATAAATTTTTTTTTTCAGAATTCCTAATATTGCTTTAACATTTCTAAGTATCTTCTCGTCGTTTACCTCGTTTTTATATAAGCTAGACTACCTCTTCGCGAGCCACCCCTTCGCGAGCCGGGTATTTTGTATGGGTTTACATACAAACGATTTATCCCCGTAAAAAACCGGGAAAAGATCGGAAAAATCTGAAATTCACTTACGTAATCAATTGGCTTAATTAAGTTAACATATGAATTTTTCGAATTTTTTTGTTACTAATATAAGAAGTTATATACGATTTTGGGTTTTTTGAAATTGCACTAACAGTTTGCTATATAATTTATTAGTAACCCTGTTAACTATACTCATATCGACATGTTTACCTATTTTTTTCGCGGTAATAAAGTGGGTCTATTACCCAATACTTTATTTCATAAATAGAAGAATGGCTAGTATTAAGTAATCTTATTTTTATTCTTTGATTTCGTTTTTATTTAATTTATTATTTTAAAAAAACCACGTTTTTAAACAAGTTAAAACTTTCTAAAATTGTACCCATTTTTACAGTAAGAATTCTACCTTTCCGACTGTCTTATTTTTCTATACAAAGAAGTTCTAAAAAAGAACACTAAAAATTAACGTTTTTAAGACTTGTTTAATTTAATAAAAATCAGAAAAATGAAAAGAAAAAAGTTTACATAATCTTAACTATCATTTTATCTATAGTATAAAGGATTATGTAATAGACCCACTCTATTACCGCGAAAAAAATAGGTTAAGAGGCTGATATAGAGCATAGTTAACAGATTTATTAATAAATTATATGGCAAACTGTTAGTGTAGTTTTAAAAAACCCAAAATCGTATATAACTTCTTATATTAGTAACAAAAAAATTCGAAAAATTCATATGTTAACTTAATTAAGCCAATTGATTACGTAAGTGAATTTCAGATTTTTCCGATCTTTTCCCGGTTTTTTACGGGGATAAATCGTTTGTATGTAAACCCATATAAAATACCCGGCTCGCGAAGGGGTGGCTCGTGAAGCGGTAACCTAACTTATTACCTTATTCTTTAACGACGTTTTTACTAATTATTTATCTGCTTTGCTAATAAAGCGTTTTCATAATATTAAATATATTCTTTTAACGCGGTAGGCCGTGAAGAGGTGGCCTGTAAAGGGGTGGCTTAACTTACTGTACTGACCTATTCCCTGTTAGCAATACCCTGCGTAGTCAGATAGTCATCCACGATGATATTGGACCGGCGTAGGTAGAGATGCGCGAGCACGAAAGGCCCGTGGTCGCCACAAGAAACCAAGTGTTCAAGCATCCGCTTCTTTACCGGAGATTATTTAAGTCAAATACCCGCTGCTGGGCAGCTACTAAGGACATCTTGCTGGCGGGCAACTGATATCTCTCGTCCGGAAGTTGGAGATGGTGAGGGGCGAACCTGATTGCGGGACGGAAGGTCGTGGTGGGAGCCTTAACCCCTCAAAATAATGAGAGCGAGGGGCCTAGGGTGGGACCAGGGTCACCATTGAGATCCAGCATCAACGAGCTGACTTGGTCAAATTCTTGCTCGCGGGGCTCAGCGAGAATACCGATAAGCTGTCAGCAGAAGAGGTCTCTTCGTTCTCTCGGCTCTTGCACGAAAGAAGAGAGATCGAGCGATCGACCAGGAATATAGTCAAGAAGGATACAGGCAGAAGCTGTCATACGGGGATATGGCCCCAGTGCCAATACATAGGTCATAAGAGTAATATTAGGCAGGCATCATACGAATAAGGTAATAAGGTTACCGGTACGGCGACCTACTGAGAGAAGTCCCAAATAAGTACGGATACTCACGGATAAAGGGTATACGGATGTAAGGGTATACAGGTATATTAAGGATATATATTCTTAGCTGGACGACTGACTAAAGGGGGATAGGGCTATAGCTCTTGGAGATCCCCTATAGAATTATTAGTTAAATTGATATCGCTCCGAACACTTCCCCACGTCCCAGGAGCGGTCGGATTATGGCGGCTTACTATTCCGGCTGGACCAAAGCCATGAGCACGAGGGGCGCGAATTGTAGTTTTCTCCTCGAGATAGCTAATATTAACGAATCGGCCGGTGGAATATTAGAGAACCCTATCGGCTAGGGTAATGGGAGGTGGCCCACCGCATACTGGCAACCTCGGTCTGTCGGGGGACGGCGTTCGGGCTGAAGCGTCGTCGCCGAGGCCGACATCCGGTATTAGCGAGTAATGCAGGTCGTGAGACTCCCACATTGCATAATCCAGCACCGCGTAATACGGCCTGCAACGTTATGACGGAAGATAACTGGACAACTTGCAACTGCCAGTGGCCCTTCGATACGTACATAATGGATAAGCAACTACCAGGTTTAGTTCCTTGACGTCTCGATTCCTATTAGAAGAACGAGAACAATTGTATAGGTATTTACAAGCAACAGGCAACCCCTGCCCTGCCTCATTCTGCGAGTCTACATTCACCCCCGTTCCGTTGGACTAACCCGTGACCCTCCTTGGGGCCTAGACACGATACGATGAATCCGTCTGTGATCTCGTTGGCCATTTGGATCGTACAGCAGATTTACCGAGGGAAATGTCGTCAGTATATGCCCGCATGGTCGAATGAGGGAATGTGGCTTCCAGTGTTTTCGCCTCACCGGCAGCGAGCGGAGGAGAGGCCGAAGTGTAGTATTAGGTGCCTCTGCAAGTCCTGGCGTGGGATGCGGTTCGGATCTCCCCTGCGGAGTATGTGGTAGGTGATAGATCGCGGGACAAGGTAAGTCCTGAAACTCATCCTACCCACCCCCTCTCCTCTTCTCCAAGCTACCGCCTATATATCTCGACTGGGAGACCCGCTCCAGGCTACCTGTAACGTAGGCATCTATCCCTCAACAAGCGGCCACTTTGCTCAAGTGTGTATTTCCTGCCCAGGTTTCATTCACTTTTGCGACCAAAATGCTCCTTATAACTGGCTATGCTTTTGTTACCGGTGGAGGTGAGGATCCGTTGCCTGTGCTGCATACCCAGACCACCCAAGCCGGGCTCGTCTTCCGTTCATAACTGCGAAAGCTGATGATGACGCTCCAGGGAGTGGAATATGCAAAGCGGTCTGCGAGGCCTTCGCTAAGTCCGGCGTAGACGGGTTGCTTGTAGCCGACATTAACCTCGAATCCGCTACCGGGACTGCCCAGGCGGTTAAGGCCCTGGCGACGAATCCCAACTTCCGCGCGGAGGCCGTCCAGATTGACGTAGCGAAGGAGGAATCGGTGGCGGCGGCTACCCAGAGGATGCTCGAGGTCTTTGGCCGAATCGATTACTGCGTGAATGGTGCTGGGGTGAGCGGCCCTCCCTTTTCCTTTTCAGATCGCGTGCGACCGACCGGTTGCGTATTCCGCCAAGGGCGCGGTTCTCACTGCCGATCTTAATCGCCCGCTCAGGTCGCTGGCAATTCCGCCCGTGTTACCGATTTCCCTCTCGAAGACTTTGAGCGCGTCATGGGGGTCAATGCCCAGGGGACCTTCATCGTCCTCAAGGTCGTCTTGGCCGCGATGGCGTCGCAGGAGGCCCACGTCATCGACCCGGCCCTCCCGGCACGAGGAGTTACGCGTGGGGCAATCGTCAATCTAGGCTCCATCGCATCGCACATAGGCATATCCGCCGCGGTCGCCTACGTCGCATCGAAACATGCCGTGCTCGGCATGACCAAGGTAGCCGGTGCGTGCTGTCTCTATTTTCCCCGTTTTCGTTCTGTCTATGGCCTAGAAACTGAGAAGTGCAACAATCGCGGCTGACGGTAATACGGCGTGTAGCTCTAGAAAATGCCAAGCACAACATTCGGGTAAACTGCTTGTGCCCGTCGTGGGTGGCGACACCGATGATAAATGCAGCGATGAAAGCGAAACCGACTCTTGAGGCATCAATACTGTCACAGAGCCCCCAAGGGCGTCTCGCATTGCCGGAAGAGATAGCGGACATTGCGGTTTTCCTGTGCAGCACGCACGCGAACTGGATCAACGGGAGCTCCTATGGTGCGGACGGCGCGTGGCTTTCCGGCTTCTCTTACAGTGGTTAGTGGGAGCATATCGTGTTGTCGCTTGCTACGCGACGGCGTAATCCTCGCTATAGGCCGCGACGAGCCAGCTAGTCGCGTACCAAAGAACCTACATTCTCATTAGGAGAGTAGGGGCTTGGCTTAGTTCGACCAACGGTCGCTATTCACGTAATATGACCAACAGATGCCTTTAGCCATCCTCTCGACGGGTTTGTGACGGTCGCTACGCCGGGAAAATGGGTGCCGGCGGTGATGACAGGAATTCCGGCCCGAAAACGGCCCCACTTCTCTCCGACTCTGAGCTCTGTGCCCGTAAACAATGACAAGGAAGCCCGTGCCATCGCACGAATCCGCCCGCACCTCGATTGCTAGCTACGACTACGGCTCTCGAATACAGTGACAGAGACAGCTGTGAAATCGCGAATCCTCGCTTCGAGCCACAGGTGAATCACGAAGCCGCAGTAGGAGCAGTCGATCTAGGCATAAAAGCCTCGGATATAGTTGGGCTTCACGTGCTTACTATCACCCTATCGTTAAGGATGGGCAGCATTTCGCGCGACAGGGCTATAGTATGGGCATGTCTAGGGAGACCCCGGGGGGCGGCGCCGAGGCCTTCCCTCGCTCATCCCAAGTTGCAGCTGTAAGACCTTGACGAATGTATGCAGGCCATGCGGATAGGGCCGTTAATTGGCCTCCCTGCAGCCACCGGCGAACACATCAGGTCTTGTGGCCCAATCACCACTCATGCGTCTGTCAGCCGGCTCCCATATCCGGTGCCCGGGTGTTCACCGATGAATATTATTAGTGCCCCGTTCTTTCGAGCGCCGTGCCTCAGTTTCACTGAATGTGTGAGCGGCGTGCTGTATCTCCAGTTGCATGGCCAAATCCTGGATCGCTGCGAGAGACACGTGATTCTGACCAGACTGTGCCTAAGATATTAGGTGTCGAGTCTTTGCTGCTAATATGTCTTTCAGGAAAGCATGCCCTATTACTATTACCACACTTCCCTAGATAGATATAAGAGGTAGCAGATGTCAACGGAAACGTAGTCGAAGTCTACTAGGAGGAGGGTGCGGGCGATGACGCCTTTTTGTTGGGTAGGCGGGTAAACCTCGAAGACAGCAAGCGGAGTGCTAGCAGAAAAGCTTGCTAGGACATTGCATCACAAATCCGGTGATGCGCCGAAATTAGGGTTCTTATCTCGCCGCCACGAGCTTCGCATCGAGACATGAAGCTAAAGCGACGAGGCATACCGTGCATGCCTCGGGAAAGAAATCACGCGAAGTCAATCGGGCTGGAGGGGCGTAAAGGGGTCCGCGACAGATATCAAGCGAAAAGCCGGAACGCGGCGAAGGCAACGCAAGAAATTGGGCGACGAGATGGACACGAAAAAATCGGCGAATACAGCGGAAGCGTGGAATAATAGGGGGGAGGTAATGCGTGCTTAACGTTTAGCTCGAGGAGGCTAGCTCGGAAACGGGGGTGACCGGCCGGCGACATGGGCCGGACGATACCCGCATGCGAAACTTGCCAGCTACAGGGGTGCATGGCTGCGTCTGTGCAGGCCTCCTAGCCGAGACCCGCTCGCGATATGGCCGACCCCTTCTATCGGGCCGGTTCCCTGCCTAGAACGTCTGGCGAAGCTCTCGGCGTGGGCCGCTTGGGAGCACGGGCGGCCGGGGGGGGGGGGTCAAGCTTACACGCTTCACGGTCTAGTAAGATATAGAGGTGCTGCTGGGCATAGGTATGTTCAGTGTTAAAAAAGTTATGTACATGAGAAGAGGCAGCTAGGCTAGGAGGCGAAGTAAAGAATCTGCTCGCAGTTGTTGCGGAAAGTCCTGCTCGCTTGCTCTCTTTTTCTTTTTGTTTCCTCAGTGCGCGTGCCGTAGCACTCGTATGGAGTAGCCTCGTAGGATGGCCGAGAGCATCGGGTGAGAAGCACCGGCGAGGATGCAGAGTTCGGCTCGGAGAGCTGCTCCGTTTAGCAAGCCTTGAGGGAGCTGTACTTGCAGTTGCTGCTGGGGCCGGACCTGAGCTTCTTGGGCTCGTTGCCGGGGGTGGTGCCCTCGTACTCCTGGATCAGGGGTTAGCGAGCCTGTCTTTCCGGCGTGCTCTCCGCCACTCCGCGGCGTAATGCTGTGGCGGAGGACTGGGCCTAGCCAGTGGATGACTTACAACGCAGATTTCCTTGACGGAGCTGGCGCAGGTCTTGCTGTCGATAGTGGCGATATCGCCCTTGTTGGAGTTGATGCCCACCAGGGTCTTGCCGTTGTACGCCTTGACGTTCTTCACCACGACGTTGCGCTGCCCCATCTTCTTGCAGTTGCCGCAGGAGCGGTACAGCTTCCCGAAGTCCACGGCCGTGAATCCGTCGATGGTCACAGTGCCCAAGCCGTTGTGCTGGATCACCTTGTCATCGGCACCGGTAGCACCGCTACACGCTGCGTTAGCTTCCGTTAACTCCGGGGGAGTCGCCTGGTTCGTGACTTACCCGCCCTTGACGCTAGCATTTCCATCACCCTTAATGCTCAGCGCGTCCTCGCAGACGGCCTTCCACCAGACGTTCTGGATCGTGCAGGAGCCCTTGCAGTGGACGCCCTCGATCTGGTCCGCGCCGATAATCGCGTTCTTCAGGGTAGCGCCCTCCTCGAGCAGGAAGACGGCGTCAGACTCGCCGCCCTCGGCCTGACCGGTACACTTGACGCCGCGTCCGTATGTCTTCAAGCCGCCGTCGAAAACCTTTCCGGCTTTGATGGTCTCGGGCTTCGTGTAGGTGACAGAGCCCTTGGACGCCGGGATAGGGAACGTCGCGCGCTTGCCCAGGGCGGCCACGGTGTTGGGAGTCACACCGTTTTCAGGCGCGGGCGTGGCGAGGACGGCGGGGGAGGCGCCGAGGAGGAAGAGAACGGACGTGAACTTCATGATTGCTGTGGGTGAGGGGAGTTGGCCTGGTAAGAGGACTAGTTACGGGGACTCAGCTGTCAAAACGAGAGAATGGTAAAAACGAGGGAATGTTAAACGAGAGAATAGTTAAACGAGAGAATAGTTAAACGAGAGAACGGTAAAGCTTAGCTTGCTGGAGCGAAAGAACAAACAAAGGGATACCGGCCGGGAGAGCCAGTTGATTTAAATAGGCACGATGAGCCGGGTGACTCGGGCGAGACAAGAAGCCGTCGAACAAGGCACCGAAGAATGTGGCCTTAGATCATGAGAGATACCCATTCCGACAGCTACTCTACGAATATCCGCCCCTATACGATGGTTATTCGATCCCCACATAATGCAACATCACCATCGCGTTTAGCAGGTGGATCTGTCGTCCTAAAGGCGATCTCGAGCTATCCTAGTCTTCCCCTGGTGATACCGCGGGCTCTTGCGCCAAGGCGGTACCGATCCACCCTGTAATTAGAAGACCGCCCCATTGCAGCCGCTCTAAGCCCGCGTATCTGCGGCAGCTCAGCAGTTGGTTGTAGTAATAATCAGTAAAGCCGTTCGAGACATGCAGAGTGTCTCGGTATGTGCTCGACGAAAACCCCGAGGCCGGGACACAGGACCAAGAAACACTTTGTTTGCACGACGAAGTCAACAAGTTATCTCGTGCCAAGTCCTATCCGAACCACGAGTAGTAGAACAGCGCGAGAAGCACTTGTGGATCTGCGGTGGGGCGATCCCGGCGGGCGCGTGGGAGATCTCCTTTTTGAGCCATGCATACGATCAGACGCTTCCGGCGCGAGGCTCACCGCGGCTACGCCCAGCTAGCTGCGTCAGGAGAGACGGAACAAAAGGGAGGGGAGGACTGGACCGATTCGAGCGACCACATCTCGACGTGTTGTGGTCTTGGGTGCGCCGGCTTGTTTCGAGCAGATTGTCTCTGTTCGAGACGATGCGGAGAGGGAAGTTCTAGCGAGCAGGGGTCGGTCCCCCTCCCTAATCCATAATCAGATGAAGCGCTACCGCCTTCGACCCCTACCGAAGCGCCAGGATGTCGAGTGGTGGAAAATTACCTACCTGCCTACACGGGACCCTTCTCCCAAAGCAACATACGACACACGATCAAAGTGCCGGGCACGTTACTGAACGGGATAGCGCCACATACGTATACGTGCATGTAAAAGGGGGTCTGGAAAAGTCCAACATGCATGAGAACTGCGCGTAATGTTCCCTTTCGAGAGACCGGTAGGCTACTATTACTAGTAACCCGTGCGGCTATCGTGTTCCTTATTACCAACAGCGGAGTTAGGGCTGGGACGTTTCAACGTGTCTGGGATATAACACGCCGAAGCTATCACGGTTGGGCAGACGTATTTAGCACTAGCGCTACTACGAGAGAGTATGAGAGCAGCAAAGATCGAGTTAAACTAATGCGAGTAAGTGACATTGCTCGTATTGCGAATCGACAGTTGCTGCATCTTCAGTTATACAACGCAGTATAGTCGGATAAACTAGGGGGGTCAACTGTTAACAGGGCGGCCTTAACTACATAGCACATACGGTGCATCTACACGTAATAAAGGGCATTCAGTATGCATATGCTCGACAGGGGGCCGGGATATAGGTATAGTAACACACTCACCCGGATTCATATAGGCTCAAGGTGTGGGTGGTACTCGCGCGGCGGAGAGACGTGAAAAAAAGCTGCTTACGGAAATCTGGGGAAAGGGGATCTACACTCTTGTTCTTTATCAACGTTGCACTGAGATGCCTTCACTGCCATTGGCGCGGATTTCACGGACGGTTTCTTCACGCCGGCAAGAAAAACTAGGATAAACCTCCGCCTCCGGACACTCCCCGTCGCCCGTCGCGCGGGGAAACAGGATGGGTGCCCAATTCCCGCGACACCGCACATATTAGTCACGTCGCGGGTGCAGAATTTTCCACAAATGTGAGTTGGCGAGCGGCACCAAGACCAACCTCCCCTATAGTAGCATTTACCTCTCCATCACGCACGCGCAGCTAACTCACCAAAGACCCCGCCCGCTCCGCTCCTCACGACCAAGGCGTCTTCGGCTTGGGCAGCACCTTGCCGTCGAGGATGATCTCCACGCCCTCCCTCTCGTGGTAGAAGCAGAGGTGGCCCGCGATCGGCGCGGATTCCAGGGTCGGGGTCTTGTAATACCAGACGAGGTCCTGGAACGTCTTCGTCGCCTTCGCCTGCTCCTTCTCCTCGCCCTCCTCGCCCTCGCCCCCACCCTCGACCTCGACGTGGTAGTAATTGGCCACGCCCTTGTACGGACAGGCCGTCGTGGTGGCGCTGTTGCGCAGCACGGCGCGGTCGACCGCCGTCGGCGGCACGTAGTACCGGCACGGCAGGCCGGTCTCGTACAGGTGGTGCGCGGCCGTCGTCGGCGGGACGACGAGCCGCCCGGCGACGCGCACGGCGAGCGGCCGCGCCGACGCCAGCACGTCGACGCGCCGGAACGGGTCCCGGGGGTGCACGTAGATCTGCGTGTCCTCCTCGAACCAGCCGTCGGCCGCGCCGAACTCGACGCGCACCCGGCCCGCCAGCTGCCGCGCGCCGTCCGCCTCCCCGGCGGCCCCGAACTCGTCCGAGAAGACTAGCACCCGGTCCGTGGCTCGGCCGCCGACGCGCAGGTCCGCCGTCGAGTAGGGGGGCGCGGCGGGCGAGGACGGGGGGCGTCGCCGGACGAGCGTGCCCGGGGCGAACGAGCTCGCGGGGAGGTAGTAGAAGGGGTAGTACGGGTGCTCCCAGACGAACAGGGCGTCGGTGCTATCGGCGACGTACGCGCCGTTGAACAGGACGCGGATCCGCCGGCCCGCAGAGGATAGGGTCTTGACCGGCCCGTGCTCGAGCAGCCGGCGGCCGAGATCGACGAGGTCCGGCGGGGGATTAGCCATGCTGTCTAGCTTCCGCTGGCGCTAGGGAAGGAGGTGGGGCGGTGCGACGGCACGAGGTGCGGGCTCGTGACGAGACGGATCTTGGCAGAGTCGATTGCTTGCCGGTAACACCTCACAAACGGTACACGTGGGCAGGACGGGGCGAGCGGACGATAGGCCAGGCTGGGGTTGTAGGTGTAGGACCCACGATGCGTGTGTTTTTCCGATCCAGAGGCAACTCGAGGGAAGTGAGAGACGTGAAGACGCGGTAACGCCAAGGGAAGAAGGCGGCTCCAGCCTTGATGTGGTGATCCAGTACCTCTGTCTAGGTGTAAGGTGTAAGCGCCAGGCCAGTCGCCATGTAGTGAAGAGAAGAGAAAGTCAGGTTTGCTGTCTAGATTGGAGGTTGGCATACAAGGCACCACATGATGTCATCGCACCACGTCGCCGGCGCCTGATTAGGTAAGCTGACGGGTTCTCGCGGTGGGGTAGTGGGAGGGACGGTGGACACCCGGTGTAGACCTGGGTGCATCTACGCACATGTCGTCGCACTTGTTGTCGTACTTACATAACTAGAATGCGCGTAGGTCGCTTGGTGATAGGTAGGTAATCTGTTCAGTGTAGGTTTCTATTGTTGGGTACCTCGCCCTGCGCGTCCCCACGAAATGCAGAATCGTCTAGAAGCACGCAATCGAAGCTAAGGCCCTGGCCATCCGCCACGCTGGGACTGCACACCTTGACGTAGCCGGTGGTTGACCGTGGGCGACGCGTAACTCGGATAAGTACCTACATTGTTTAGTAGGTACTGACTACTAGGTACCTAAACCCGGCTGATCCCGCTGGCGCCTGTTGGACGGATTCCCCACAACGTCCTCGCTGGTATCAGGCTCGGACCGGTGCTTCTCTCGCTTGATCCTAGTTGTCTAACTTGGTTGGGTATGTGAGGCTAACTTCGAGGCCGACTGCGAGGCCGACTGCGAGGTCGACCGCGAGCTGCGCAGGGCGGGGCGGGGTAGCTGTGTTGCGGGACATCCCTTCGCCTCCGACCTCGAGGAAATGAGGCAGGCTGCCTTGGTAGGACTGCGTGTGCATATGAGTCTGCTCTCGCCTGGGGCCTTTCCAGCCTTCGAGCAGACCCGCCCAGAGCCGCCGAATTGGGTATGGGAGCACCAACACTCAACCCGCCTAGCCAAGACACGGGTACGTACGTACCCATCCACGCGCACCCGTCCACGCGCACTCATCCCGGCGAGGCACACAAACACATGCGCGGGTGATTGGAGGCCAGAAAAGACAAAGTCGTAAGAGGCATGTGATAGCCACTAGGGCCTAGGCGCAGGGAGTCGTGCTGACCCCATGATAGGGGGTTGAAAGGGGGGGGAGAAGGGGGGGAGGCCGTGATTCGCAGAACGTAGGCCCCCCCGTGGTGGAAATCAATGATCAATGTGCTAAGTGTCTATGTGCTTCGTATTCCTGTATAGCAAACATGATGGGTATCTTGACTAACGTCAAACCGTGAAACGGCCCTGGGCCAGAATCCCGCCCCGAAGAATGCCTTACCGCACATCGATAGAGAGAATGTCTCCCCTGCGTCTTCGCTCTGGTTCTCGCCATACCCTTGTGAGGCGTACGGCAACCCTCCCGTGCCGCATCTCGCCCAAAACAAATCGATATTTTCCTATGTGCTCCAATGCTATGGTGACGGGTCGGCGAGCCTGATCGGCGAAGCCGTCCTCGCCCTCCCATGTTCCCTAAACGCCGTCGCGATGCTGTACTGGTTAACCTATACGCCCCGTCCTCTAACCCAGACCGTGCGGCTGGGTGCCTTACTCCTCGACGAGGTGGTCGACGAAGGGATCGTGATCAACCTCCAATCTCTTGGCGGCCGGCTCGTCCACGTCCTCCTCCGAGAGTCCGTGCTTGTCGAGCCACAGCTTGCGCAACACCTGGTAGATGAATACGTACTGTGTTTCTGCCTGCACCATCTGCTTGCGCTGCTCCCTCAGCGCGTCCACGGTCTGGAACACGATGTCTTCCTCCCTCTCCTTCTCGCTGCGGCGGTCTAGGTCGCCCGTCTCCACCTCCCTCATGAGGTGCTCGAGCGCGATAAAAGTTCCGCTCCGGCCGACGCCGGCCGAGCAGTGCACGATCCGGGGGTTGTCCTCGCTCGCGTTCTTCTCGCGCGACAGGCGCATGAGTTCGAAGAAGCTGCTGATGTCCTTCATGTCCGGGATGCCGAAGTCGGGCCACTTGCGGTAGAGCAGGTGCCAGACGGTCATATCCTCGTCGCGGCCGTCGACGTGGACGTTGAGCTTTCGCATCTCGATAGCGCCTTTCGCATGCTGCTCGATGCCGACGCAGCGAATCTCGGCTCGGAAACCGTCGCCGAATTCGTCATCCTCGCCCACGACCAGCGGTTCCTCCTTGAGGTCCGGGTAGTACGGAAAGCACTTCTCCATATGGCCCTCGTGCGTCTGGGTCAGCATGACAATTACGGCCGGGCTTCTCAGTTGCTCTACCACCATCCGCCAGACATGATCCATAGTCTGTTCCTTAGGACCTTGCATCGCAATATAGCGGTGCGGGGGGCGGCCCTCGGGGTTGATGGGAGAGTAAAGAGTGATTGGCGACGCATTTATGTAGTCAAACTGGCCCTCGGGCACTTGCAGCTTCACGCGATTATTCTCCCACGGCTGGATATTGGCGTATCGGTCCAAGAACTTAGCCTCGGGCGCGGTCACGCGAGCAAATCGGTAGCTGGGGGACGGGTTCTGAAAAGATTCCGAGATGCGAAAGCGCTCTTGCCATGCGAGCTCGTGGAACTTAGACTCGATCTCTGAGGGGGGGGGGAGTTGATGGTTAGCATGTCCATACCTGGGAGGGGGCCGGAAACTGGAGAAACGCCAGGGAGCATAGACGTACCGGGGCGAGACATGGCAAGAAACGCGGGAATCATGGGCTTCTCCTGGACGACAGCTGCGCCACCATCCTCTTTATCCTTGGTCGGTGGCGACACATTGGTGTCGATTGTGATGTCTGGATTTACGACCACCGGGGAGGCAGACACTGGTAAAGAGGCAGGAGGCGGCGACCGTGCTCGTTTGTGAGAACTTCGGAAGTGGAACGCCCGGAACGGGGACTTGGGGATCTGTCCCATCGAGCCATTGCGGGCTGGCTGCGAGTCAGGAATAGCCAGGCTTGGGGCTGACTGACGCTGCGCTACGGTGTTGATCTTTCTCTCCGCAGACGATTTGTCAGGCGGCGACCCCGCTCGAGTTGCTGGGGAGGATGGCGTGGAGGGAACTTTTCGGCTACGCCAGAAGCGTCCTGGAATATGGTCCATTGGGTCGGCAGATGACAACGACTCCGGGCTATGAGAAAACGGGTCAAGTTAAGGCAATATGGAGGGTGAATGTACGTGGGTTTGCGGAGTCACATCTGCGTGGCGATGGCTGCTGGCAAGGGTTGTGGGTGTGGCAAGCAACGGGGTGCCCCTCTGAAGGAGTTGTCGAGGCAGGAATGGCGTCTAGCAGGCTTGCACGGGAGCAGCGAGGATGAGGATATATCGGTACGGTGGGAAGAGACACAGGCCCGGGCAGGCGGACACAGCGTGGAGACAGGGAATGGCCTCAAGCGTGGCGTGCTGCGCAGTCCAGCTTCACGCGAGACAGGAGAAACTGCCACAGGATCAGGACCGCCAGACTGGACTAGCGGGTGCAATGGAGAGTTGTCGCGCAGTCATTGTCGGCCGACTAGAAGGCGGAACGGAGAACGGCATGTGTAGATTTGGGAGAGAAGCTGTTCTGGGGGCGGAACTCCAGCAGCTGGGGTCGGTGGTGGCTATGGGTAAGAAGAGCTTCTGGGGGGAGGGCGAAGGTAGACGTAGGTAGTTAAATAACGACGGCCAATAGCGGGGCGGTGGAGACGGATAGGTCACCTTGCGCCACCTGGCGCGACGCCCCGGGTACCTAGGTGAGGCCGGCACGCCTTGCCTGGGGACGTGTACCAGACATGTACCTACATAAGCATGTGTTATCCGTTCTCGGGCCCCTCTCGTAAAGGAGCTGGGTACCTGGGAGCGAAGGCGCACCGGGTAGATGTACCTACGGGAATACGCGCAAGTGCTGCACGAGGCTCGGATCTATCAATGTACACGGGACGAATGCGTAGGAGGTGATGAGGTACCTGACCTAATATTCAAACTTATCCTCGGCGTCATTCCCTTAGGTACCTAAGGCATCTATGTACTTAGAGAGGTAAGTACCTGATGCATTACGTGAATACTTACCGCCTCGTAGCAAAGCAGGGATGCCACCGAGAATTCCCCCACCAGCCTCCTCCGCGCTTTGACGCCTCAACACAATATGATCTCGCACCTACGTACCAACTCATATATTTATTACTCACAAGTTCACGCGTCTGTCCGTCTGCGTATGCTAATACGTTCAAGTGTTTCCACAGGTAAACACGGCCAGCCAGCAAGCCACAGCCGCCGCTCCCTCAGGGCAGGCTGGTGGCGAGACGCGTAGCGCGAGGCAGCCAAAGACGCCCTGTGTTCGGCACGCAGGAGAGGAGTCCACACAGGTATGTAGAGTCCCGGTCATCTCAGATGGCTATGATCACCAGCGGCGCAATCATGACCGATACGAGGTATGCATCTCTATTTGTCGTGCATCCACACCTCCAAAACCTGCACGTAGAGGGGTAGAGGCAGAGGCAGAGGCAGACCTCGAGGCGAGATCGCCCAGGACCTCCACGATCCACGCAGACTATCCCTATCACGGACAGAAAAGGTGGACAGCGTCCTCTAGCCGGGTCCTACGCGGTACCTACACCAGGAACGTACTATACTAGTATTTTCCCCATACCGTCATACAAGACCGCCCCAGCTTCGTAAGCAAGCCGATCCGAAACACGGTCCCAGCCAACGCGTCTCGCGCTAGAGTCCGCCATCAAGTAGGAGATCGCGCTGGGAATCTCGCCTGAAACGACACTCGGCCGGGGCCTGATCAACCAATAGAGCGACGCGGTCCCTTCCTATTAGCCGGGCAGATTCTTGGGGTAGGGAGAGCTGTGATAGGACCCGATGTAGAGTGCGTAGATAGGCACGCGAATATCCTGAAATGGTGGTACATAGGTAGGTATTGCGTCCTTGCTTCAGGTCTGGGACGGGGATAGTATGGACCGCTACAGACGCGGAGTCGCGTGCGCGGAGTCTGGCCTAAACCAACAACAGCCTCGGGATAAATTTAGCATGATATTCCCGCTTTTGCCCGTCCTACTACCAACACCGAACAACTTCTACTACGGGACTTCTCGACCTGTTGGTATTTGAGGGCGGACCTGGTATCAACTTATACATCCTGTAACTTCCGTAGTCATCTCGCCAGCGTTAAACACCGCCGTACTCGCCTCGGCTTCTCCTACTCGTCAGTTACCTGAATATCGATCTGAACTTGTCGCCTTCTGCCATATTGCCTCTAGCTTCTCTACGTGCACAGGCATACATAGTCGAGCATCTGTCTGCTTACCTAAGCTGTTCAACAAGTATATCTAGCCAAGAGAGAGCTTATCACGACTAGTGGACGAGACTCGTAATGGGAAAAAGCTTATGTGAAGATGAAGCTATCTATCTATTATCTCCTGAACTAAACGAGTCATCTAAAGCTTAAGCTAATCTCCTATTGAAGCCTATAAGGCTTATATAAGCTCCGTAATCGGTGTCGGAGGATGCCGTGGATGCCGTGACAGAGCTCAACTTTCACCATGCCTTCCAGCCAAACCACCAAGCGACAACATAACGGCTGCTCATTCATTCGACGTATAACCATCCCGTCCGTCACTCCGAAGCCCATTGATAGACGATTTCTCACCATGGCATTGAATAAATAGGTAGGTAGTTAAACCGTCAGTTCTTCAATTTCTTCATCGATACCATCCGTACAATGGTCATGAGCGAATGAAGCGTGTATTGATAGGGCAAGACTTCGATCTCACTTTCGGTCCACAGCTCCTGAGCTAAGCCTCCACCACGGAACAAGCGCCCGAGGTTGGTCCCATTGCCGATACCAACCCTCAAATCGGGTCACGAATCCTTCGGCAATTCTATCGGGTTGTCCTGAGGCAGGAAATTGTTCTTCCTAGGCATCTCAGCTTGCGCGGCCGGAGACACCGATCCTGGCTCTACATCACAGTCGGCAAGAAGCGGCTTTGCGAGACCGTCTTGAGGGGAAATGACGAGCCTTGGCTGCGAGTACTCAAGAGTCTCGGCTGTCGTGGATGCCAATGAGGCGCCTCATTCACGGCCCGAATCATAAGCAACACTACGTCAATAGCTAGCCTACGGGAGCCAAGTGTCCGGTTGACTAGGTTTGACCCGCCGTTCATCGTCCGTGTCGAGCACTCCCTGCTATGGTTCGCGAGGAAACCTTTCGCGGAATTTTCGAGTCAGGAATTGGTAAGTCCTTAGATTGCCTACGTAAACTCTCGGCTGCTTTTTGAGCACAGATTGTCCAGCAGAGCGTCGATGGCCATCATTCCATGCCGACTAAAGCGATTGCATAAGGTTGGCCCGCCCTGGGAACAAGCGCCACGTCCTCCCTTCGACCGTTACAGAATATTCTAGAGAATACCCACAGAATCGAGTGGCCGGATACGAGGAATGCCGTTTAACGCCGAGTCCGCCCTACTATAAGGGCCAAGAAATCCAACTGTGGATATATAAACCTCGTGGGTTGGGTATCCCATCTTTAGACGGGTGTCGGCATATGGTAATAGTCCTATATACATCGTAGCTATCGAGGGCAAGCCAACGCTTCAAAATGCTACAGGCCACCGGTGTCACCACAGGGGAGCGACGGAGAATTATTATGACATCAAGGGTCGTGTGCCGATAGAGAGCCTCCGTTTTGTTCTAAATATGGCCTCTATGAATGTTTACCTCTTTCCCAAAAGCTCGGGGACGATGTCAAGAAGGTCGTGAGGCAGGATTTAGGCGAGAGAAACCCGGGAGTAATGACAGCATACCTTGAATCTCCCGGCAAAACCACCAGCATCCCCCCTGACGCCTCTTCTTCCATTCGTGCGCAGATGCCTGGTATCAGTTACAAGAAGATCCCATCCCGCTCGCTTGCTCTCTGCTGGGTCTGATTGGCCCTAGCACTCCCTGGTCGACTGCCGTCTCGCGCCAAGTTCAACTTCAGGGCCGATTCATTGCTTTCGTGAAGACGCTCTGAGAATTCCAAATAGGACAAATCTACATGAGGTTGGGCAGCGTCTCATGTGATGCTGAGGGGAGATGATAGTTGACGAACAGAGCAGTGCGGGGGTGGAATTCCCGAAAGGGGTGGCCCAACGCCGCGCCTAAATGAAATAAATGAAAGGAAGGCGACGGTGTAGTGAGAAAGGGGAATAGTATAATCTATTTACGCCGGGTCGTGGGTGGCCAGTCGTCGGCATGTCGTTGCGGTAGGGGGTTGATCTAGGCATGGCAGTAGTACATATATGTACGGTTGAGCAGTAAGACACTGCCCTTCTCTTTTTTTAGACCTCACCGTCATCGCTGTGAACGCATCGCTAAACTAAGGTTCTCTTACCATCTCCAAAGATGAAGTGGCTTTCTCTCACTCTCGCGCTCGCGGTGCCTTCCGAGGCCGCCCTCCGGTTCGGATGCTCGACGCTAACCATTCAGCGTCTCGACCCTCTCGTCGAGCCCGGCGCGGCTCCGTCGGCCCATCTCCACCAGATCGTCGGTGGGAATGCTTTTAACGCTACTATGACCGGCGACGTCGGCGCGAGGGGCACCTGTACGACATGTACTTTCTCTGAGGACTTCTCCAACTACTGGACCGCCGTTATGTTCTTCAAGCACACCAACGGCTCCTACAAGCGTGTCCCCATCATGCAGAACGCCGCCCTGCCTGACGGCATCAACGGTGGCATGACCATCTACTACACCCAGCAGGACTTCTCCTCCAACGGCAACCAGAAGATCACCGCCTTCAAGCCCGTAAGCGTGCCGGCGAATCTGAGTGTCTGTGTGGTGTGTTGACAGTACTAGGGTTTCCGCATGACCGTTGGCAGCCCGACCTCGACGTCCAAGTACGGCCCCGGCCTGAAGTTCGTCTGCCTCCAGAACAAGGGAACCCGATTCCCCGAGCTCGACGACTTCCCCACACGGCCCTGCGCAGGCGGCATCATGACCGTCCACCACTTCCCCGCGTAAGTAGCCCTACCCTCCCTAGACACCGCGGGCCCTCCTCTCGCGGCGTGGTACCGGCAGGTCCGCTGACCTCCGCGCAGCTGCTGGGATGGCAAGAACCTCGACAGCCCCGACCACCAGTCTCACATGTACAACACGGTCAAGGACGCGTTCCAGAACGGGGGCCCGTGTCCGGCGTCGCACCCGATCCGCGTGCCGCAGGTCGCGTACGAGACGCTCTGGGACACGACCCAGTTCAACAATATGTGGCCCACCGACGGCTCACAGCCCTTCACGCTCAGCTACGGCGATAACAAGGGCTACGGTACCCACGCCGACTACGTCTTCGGCTGGAAGGGCGACACCCTCCAGCAGGCCATGGACTCGTCTTGCATGTTCAATGCCTGCGAGAACGGCCGCCCGCTCAAGTCCCAGGGCGTCGCCGCCATGAACGCCTGCAGCGTCAAGAGCACCGTCAACGAGGATATCAACAACTGTAAGCCCGCTCCCCCGACTCCCTGACCGAGGATGGGCCTTAGGCTAACCACTCGTCGTGTTTTAGGGCTCCCCGCGCTCCCCGGTGGCATGTATTAGATGGCAAAAAGACGGGAGGCTTGATTTTATCGTTTAGAGCTGGTGTTCTTGGACCTCGTTACGCACGCTCGCACACCTTTCATTGAGACAAGATATCACCATGTATCAGCGACTGGGTGCGGCGCACAAATCTGTTTTGTGTCAGGGAGGGCTGACTTTCAGGGGGAGGGGGAACCCACCTAATAGCGGCGAGGACGTCGAGTTACTGTTGTCCGAAGATCCCCTTTGAGACAGTTAATTAAAATTGTTTATGCGTGGAAATGCTTCTCACAATTTCTCGACGTGATGCCTAGTTATCATCCCTGCATTTAACTCGAGCGAGCAGACTAATATGTGCTCCTCTTGGAGTCTTTCGTCCGAAGGGCTTGTCAGCTGCGTCCTTAGTCGTCCGCCAATAATGTGATAACATAAGAGCCGCAACGATTCCCTAATCATTCTAGCAACACAAGAAGAAAAGGTATCGCGGTACTGGTCAGACTAATATACCTACGAATCCGTATCCGTTCTGACATAAAAAGATAAAGTTATCAGAGGCGTATGCCTATGCGACAATGTTGTATTAAATACCTGTAATTACTAATTAAATCATTAAAAAGTAATGCTTACTTTAGGCGGTTCTTAAAGGAGTGGCTCACACAGCGGTAGGTTATCGTATACCTGTAGAACTATCCACTTTCTAACACTCTGCCACATCATTTTGCCTCCCGTCCTACTTCCCATTCAAGGCAAGATGGATAATCAAGCCTGTGAGAAGCTGAATGGGGAGAATGTCCTGCTCCCTACCACCATCGTTTAAGTCAGGCCTCGCCATACCGCTGCGTGTCACGCGTCACCGCCTAGCCAGATTCCTCGCTGGAAACTCCCTCCCCGGTAAACCGGTGTGATCGTTGCCCTAATTTCAGGGTTTTCCCTTTGGAAACTAACAGTACTAACTGTAAGGACAATAACATACCTAGCATCCCCCCTCAACCTTCGTTTGGCAACCTAGACCCCAGCTTTTCCCGTGAGACAGCATATATTGATGACTGGCTAGATTGCCTCCATTCTAGCCCCTTACCTGGTCGTATTTACGATTCTCCTATAGAGTCTACCTAGGACTGCCGTAACCCACATATTACTCAGTAATGCCAATACCAGGCTATTCAATTTGCATAAACAATCTCTTACAACAGTAAGACCAACTCGTGAACCTTGTCCTCTGCCTCGCGGAATAATAGACTCCAGGAATCACGGTCCCCGTCCGGGTAGCTCTGCTGATTTTGCGGGAGTCGACACAGTCTAGCACAAACCCACGCTATTATCCTCAGAAGAGATCCCGGTATTTGAAGACGAAGTGCGAGCTTTCCCAGTCTTAAATTGATGGAATGGAAAAGTTCCGGCGTCACCAGTGGCATAATTATTTGCGTGTTTGAGTAATTCAATTAATTCGAGGCCATTGTGGAAGATACCAGTCACTCTTCCTATTATTATCACAAAGTATTACCTCGAGTTCCTCATTGATACCCGCTGAGGATGTCATCCTCGACGTTCCTGTTACGGATAAAGTTCAAGAACTCCTTGTCTGGACTCTAGTCAGCGAGGGTCCTCTCGCTGGTCCTTCGTAATTCAACTTACAGCTGATTTTCCCTTCGCCATCCACACTGTTCACCAGCTTCTCAACCTCCACATCGGTGACCGAGTCCCCGAGATCCGCCACCAGTTGCCGGAACTGGCTCTGCGTGATCGACCCGTTGAGGGACGGCTCGTACTTCTTCCACGCGCGGGCATAGTCCTCGTCTTCGTCTTGCGGCGGGTATGGCTGGCCAGTCATCATGGTGATAAACTCTGTTGCATGGAATCAGCCCTCGACGTCTCGCACTCGTCGCGGCATTTCCCTGTGCCCCCGTGTCGCATTGCGATAGGGAGCTTGTAGGATGGATAGTACCTACCATTGAAGTTGATGGTTCCGTCGCCGTCGAGGTCAACGTCCTTAATGATCTGCTCGACCTCTTCCTTCGTTGGCTGCTTGCCCGGGCTCTGAGACATCACTTTCGCAAACTCCTCGGCAGTGATGTTGCCTAGTTGTCCCGTCAGTAAGGAGGCCAGACTTGTTTACTGTTATCGGGTGTCTAGGCTCCGGATAAGAGCAGAGGCACTAACCGCCCTTGTCGGTATCCTACGACGTGGTTAGACGGATAGCTCGTCCTATCTGCGGAAGTGAGTCTGTGAAGTACTTACATAGGAGTCGAAGAGATCCTTGAAGACTTGGATCTCCTCTTTCGATAGGGCTCGTGCCTGACATACCCATCAGCGAATCTTGGCTTAGAGTCTCCGGTGTGGCGACGTAGGACTCACCATTTTCCTTTTCCGGTCCGCTTTGAGATGGTTGTGTATAGCAGGTTTTAGCTCGGTCTGTATAATTGTCGGGAAAAGCTTCGAATGACGAGAGGCTCGTAAAAACATCTACAAGATGATGTTTAAATAGGCGTGTCGCCATGGCGCTGCAAAATATGGAGTCAATGCGCTCGGGTTAGGGGTGGACCCTGGCATGAAACTAGCTTGTGTTCCAGGCAAGGAATATTTCGTGGCCAGCATGGCCGCTACAGGGATTTATGGACCGTAAAATCGGCTCGACGACAATCAACGCACAATTCGGCTTCACCATCCCTAATTCTTCTCCTTGGCGCCAAGAGGCAGGGGGAGGAACACGTTTTGTGGGGTCGTGAGTATATATAAGAAGCTATAGGTGTTATAATGCATACAACTGTAGTTGTCGTGAGCCCTTGGACAGGTCATCTTCATACCACGGATTCAACTACTCCCAACTTCCGCAGATCGCTCTCATTCTTGGGAATTCCTTCGTATTCTAGCATTTTATCGTCTTCCGCATCATCATAAAGGTGACGGTCGAGTGCGTCAATCCATCTGAAGGTCTTACTGGTGATCACTATTTTCTCTACGAAAGAGACCATAACTATACAGGACTCAATAACGGGAAATGTGCCTACATAAACACAAGAAAGAACGAGGTTGGATAGTAACAGGGACTTCTTTTATTGTAGTAGACTTGCTCTCTCAGCCTCCTCCAGAACTCGGAGGTATCACCTAGAAGGGCGGGGAAATGTTTCAGCGAGACTGTATTAAAATGTGACTCGGAAAGAGATATTTGAACCTATATCACCAAATGAGAAGGCAGTGCCTTTCGTTTTCCTCCATTAAACAGCATCTAAACCATCAAATAGAAATTGTCGCAACTCCCTTAAGTACTTATAGGGCTGTGTAGAGAAATGTGCTAGTTCGTTGATGAACTGGGCGGATTTTGGAAAATCACAAGCTGAGGAACGAGATATGCCGGTAGTCACCACGGTGAAGACTCTTCCGGTTAATGAACCAGAATGGATTCCGTGGTGCAAACGTAAGCGACGATAATGAACCGAGCCAACCGAAAGATAACATCCAGTAGGAAGTCAACGGGTTCGATTTGCCTATAATTGTAAGAATTCACAGGTTTAAACGAGGCCTCGTTCAGGTTTCCGGGCCTGAAAGGAGCATATTGGCGAGTTTGGGCGGTTTCCGGAAGTTGTCACTCTCGGCTACGCAACACACCCCAATGCGGTTCTTCTGACCGGCACTTTAGCACGCTTTTTGCGAACCGAAGGCGGGGATCTGAGATTGGGTTAAATGAGAAGACTGGGATCCTCTAATGGACCTGGTTACATCGAGACCTGCCACACCTCTTGGCTGTCCCTGTATGGATGGACAGACAATTAGCCGACGGTAGACCTCGGGCCACGTAAATGGGTAATAAGTGTCTATTCCCACTGCCTCTGGAGTATTTAAGTTAGTACTGGGCTTCGTTATCTGTTCACACTATACTCACCGTCTGGTATATCAATACTGGCGGTGTAAGCCCGTCTGCTGGTCTGGTCCAACACGATTTATATCGTAAATCACCTTAGAGCGAAGCCCGCAGGCCTAGAACTATTATCAAAATGCGTGGACCTACCATCACCGGCGTCTTAGCCGCCTTACTCGCGTCCCCGAGCACCTATGCCGCCTTGACACAGATCAGTAGCTGGGGACAGAACCCAACGAATCTGAATATGGCGGTCTATATGCCAGCTAAGTTGGCTGAGAGGCCCGCCATCATCCTGGCTGTAAGGTTCAGCGCTCCCCAATGTTTCAGTCACCCACAGGCTCAAGGGATGAACAGCTACACTACTGCGGCGGGACGGGCCAGGCGTACCATCAGACGGCAAATTACGACCGGTACGCAGACGCGAAGGGATTCATCGTGGTTTATCCGACTACGAACAAGGATAGCAACTGTTGGGTGAGTCTGAGCCGGGAAGGCTAATAAGTGCCGTTTCACCCCCGCGCTATCAGGGCCCCGCGCTGATTCGGCTGTATTTACTATAGGATGTCGCTTCGAAGGCATCCCTCACGAATAACGGGGGAGGCGATAGCACCGGCCTGGTCAACATGGTCAAGTACCTGACCGAGAAGTACAACGCGGACCCAGCGCAGATCTACGCGACGGGCGCGTCGTCAGGATGCATGATGACGAACGTGCTGCTGGCCGCGTACCCGGACGTGTTCGCTGCCGGGTCGTGCTACTCGGGGGTAGCGGCGGGATGCCTCGCGGGCTCGCCCGGGTCGAGCCCGCAGAGCGCGGATCCCAAGTGCGCCAGCGGCCAGGTCGTCAAGACGGGCGCGCAGTGGGCCGAGCAGGTCCGGGCCATGCACCCAAGCTTCAACGGGTCGTACCCGCGCATGCAGACCTTCCACGGCGAGGCCGACAACTTCGTCGACTACAAGAACCTCGCGGAGCAGCTCAAGGAATGGTCCGCCCTGCTCGGCGTCGAGTTCGCCCGCAACCAGACCAATACCCCCCTGTCCGGCTACACCAAGATCGTGTACGGCGACGGCACCAAGTTGGTCGGCTACTCCGCCCGGGGTGTCGGCCATATCGTGCCTCCGCGCCCTCAGCTTGACCTTGAATGGTTTGGTCTAGCGTAGTGATCGGAAGATCTACGGTTGCGACCAGGTGCTTCGCCAAGTGGGAAAAGGGGGCTGGGTTCGGTGGCCCAGGCGCTCTAGTGCCCTGAAATATTGTCGTTCTCGTGGAAAAAATTAGGCACCTAGGTTGCTACTTCGAAACCAACCCCGTGTCACTCGTCGATTGACTGCATTCTTTATTTATACCGGAAGGAGGTAACTCTCCCCGTGTGGCGTTTGGCGATATGAGATGACTGAATGCCACTCAGGGCATGTCGAGGACAGAATGATTATGTAAGTGTGCAGTTGGAATTGAGTATTGTATGACGCGCCGCGGCATGTCATACATGAGCACGTAATCCATACACCTGCATCTTTTATCTGCATATATGTCGTAACAGGGGGTCTGACCGTCAGTTGCTGACATAATACCTGTGTCGTGCAATTTCCCGTAGTGTTGCCTACTGGGCGAGTTCCTACCTAAACATAACAACGACATGACCATCCATGGAGATTGTATGTGTTCTTAATTTGTGCACGACACCCCCAGTTTATTCACATACGAATGAAGATACAACAGGAGACCGAAAAGAAGGGTTGTTTCCTCAACTCGTCGTCCCTGGCTACTCGTCAGACTACTAATGTCTAGCCCAGCGAAGAAACGCAAGCTGAATAGTGCACAGCCTTCGCGGGGTCTGGAATACTTCTTTTCGAAGCAAAAGCAGAAGGATGGCGGCGGTCTCAAATCGGAGAAGGGCCCCGAGCCTAGCAGTGTTGCGCTCGAGGACCGCGGAATGACGGATGAGGAGCTAGCCCGGAAACTCCAGGCTGAGTGGGACAGGGAGGCAGAAATAGCCGGGCGCGACTCCATATCTCTGACATCTAAGCCTATAGTCACCGATACGCACGACTCCGAGAACAGCCGGGGGGCTGTTGGCATCCAGAAACAGGCACTACCCCCTCTTATGGCAGCTCAAACGGAACCGGCTAGTAAGGGCAAAAACACGCTGTCTTTACAATCTGTGGCAACCTCCGCGGACGGAGTATCAGACTCCGTACCGTTTGATGAGAGCCCTCTGACCTTCGACCCCGCGCAGTATATACCGCAACTGAGGGAGCATTGGGAGCGTGACGGAGGAGACGCGTCATATGCGCTCCTTACGCGCTGCTTTGTCCTCATCAACGGCACGTCTAGCCGAATCAAGATAGTCGATACGCTGGTCAACTGTCTACGCGTGCTCATAGAAGGAGATCCGGAGAGCTTACTCCCAGCGGTAAACCTACCTCCCCATAACTCTAGCTTCTCATTAGAGTGGCTTGCTAATTACTCACTGCACCAGGTCTGGCTAGCTACGAACTCCATTTCGCCCTCATATGAATCGCTAGAGCTAGGGTTGGGCGCCTCAGCGATCTCGAAGGCGTTGAAGAACGTTTGCGGGTTGGACGCGCGCTCGCTGAAAGCTATCTACGACAAACACGGTGACGCCGGCGACGTCGCCTTCGAGGCCAAGAAGAAGCAGAGCTTTACCCTGCGCCGGCCCAAGCCACTAACGATCAAGGGAGTCTACAAGTCCCTCGTCAAGGTGGCCGGCAGCCAGGGGCCGGGCAGCAGCGAGGCGAAGCAGCGCATTGTCGACCGCCTCCTGCAGGATGCCTGCGGCGGCGAGGAGAGCCGCTACGTGGTCCGCACTCTGTGCCAACACCTCCGCATAGGTGCGGTTAAAACGACTATGCTGATAGCCCTGTCGCGCGCGTTTCTGCTCTCGCGACCCCCCGGGGCAGACTTCCCCCTGAAGTCCGTCGACGAGCTCCGGGCGCTCAAGAAGGAGGAGCTGGCGGCGGTATGGGGCCGGGCGGAGGAGATCGTCAAGGCGTGCTTTGCACGGCGGCCTAATTACAACGACCTCGTGCCGGCGATGCTCGAGATAGGCGTATGTGACGAGCTCCTGGTGCGGTGCGCCCTGCTGCTGCACGTGCCGCTGCGGCCGATGCTCGGCAGTATCACACGGGACCTTTCGGAGATGCTGACGCGGCTGTGGGGGCGCGACTTCGCGTGCGAGTTCAAGTACGACGGGCAGCGGGCGCAGGTGCACTGCGATGAGCGCGGTCGCGTCTCTCTCTTCTCGCGCCACCTCGAGCTCATGACGGACAAGTACCCGGACCTCGTAGAGATTGTGCCGCGGATCCGCGGTGGCGGAGTCGACAGCTTCGTGATGGAAGGCGAGGTCGTCGCCGTCGACCGCCGCACAGGTGAGCTGCGGAACTTCCAGACGCTGACCGGCCGCGCGCGCAAGGATGTCTCCCTTGGAACCATCACCGTCGACGTGTGTCTGTTTGCTTTCGACCTCATGTACCTCAACGGGCAGCCATTGCTAGACCGCCCGTTCCGCGAGCGCCGGTCGCTGCTGCGGTCGCTGTTTACCGAGGTCCCGCACCGGTTCACCTGGGTCCGCAGCCTCGACGCCACGTCACAGGACTCCGAGGCGGTGCTCGACTTCTTCAAGCAGGCCACCGATAGCAAGTGCGAGGGAATCATGGTCAAGATCCTTGATAACTTGCCCGACAGCCTCGACACTCCTGTTGCTGGAACCGAAGTGGGAGATGATCCGGAACGGGGGGATGGTTCAAGTAAGCCCTTAGCTCTACCGAAACCGAAAGGTAAGAAGAGCAAAGTGAAGGCGAAGGCGAAGGAACCAGCTACTGCTATTACTACTACAACCGACACTACATCAACTAGCGGCGGCGAGAATAACAAGCTACCGTCCACACCCCCGCCACCATCTTCGTCACGCCGTAAGGCCCTCTTAGCCACGTACGAGCCGGACAAGCGACTGGACTCGTGGCTGAAGGTGAAGAAGGACTACGACAGCAGCGCGTTCGAGACGCTGGACCTGGTTCCCGTAGCGGCGTGGCACGGACAGGGCCGCAAGGCGCGGTGGTGGTCGCCGATCCTAATGGCCGTGCGCGACGACGCCACCGGCGAGCTCCAGGTCGTGTGCAAGTGCATCTCCGGCTTCACCGACGCCTTCTACAAGGCGAACCGCGAGTTCTACGACGACTCTCGCCTCCTCTCACCATCTCCTGCCCCGCCTTCTGGCTCCGAAGAGGGCGAGGACGAGGGCGGCCCAGAGGGTAATACCGATGGGGCAGACCGCGACGGGAACCGCATCAATGTCCGCCGCGCGAAGCCCGGATTCGTCGGCTACGCGGGCCCCGAGCCCGACGTCTGGTTCGAACCCCAGGAGGTCTGGGAGATGGCGTTTGCCGATGTGACCCTCTCGCCGATCTACACAGCGGCGCTAGGCCTTGTGAGCCTCGACCGCGGCCTCAGCCTACGGTTCCCCCGCTTTCTGCGCAAGCGCGAGGACAAGAGCATCGAGGAGGCTAGCACCAGCGAGTTCCTCGCCGCGCTGTACAGGAAGCAGGAGGCTAGGGCCCCGCCGCCGCCGCTGGCAGATGGCAGTAGAGCGGTGGAGGAAGAGGCGGATGAGCGGGACGATGAATAACTTGGGGTAAGCGGAGGCACTGGCTCCATTAAGCATGGGCTTAGCTTGTCCCTGGACAGGGTAGGCTAGCTATCTATTGTGAACATATCCACACACACGGCCCCCCGGCTACTCCTTCCAAGCCTTGTACACAATACGGGCGCCAAATTTCTCGCCCTTTTTCAGCAGCACCTGATTCCTCCAGTCATCGACGTTGATGGCGTTAACGAAGCGGCTCGGCTCGACGCAGAAACCGCTCCGGGATCCGCGGGCGGGGAGGCCAGCGATGGCGGGTACATCGATCCATTTGCCTGTGTAGAACTGGTAGGCCGGCTCGGTACTGAGGACCTCGAGGTGGACGCCGCTGACGGGGTGGTGGGCCGTGACGAGCTTGGTGAGCGGCTGGGCGCGGGTGTCGATCGGCACCTCGCTCGGCGACGCCTTCGGGTCCACGACGAAGCAGTCGTCGAAGTCGGGTTCCTGGACTCCCAGAGTGAAGGGTGTCGTCGTGGCGACTTTGGTGTACAGCGTCGGGCCGGTGGTCGGGATGCCCCATTCGTCGAGGGGTAGGTAGGAGGCGCTGGAGAGCTGGACGACGGTCCCGTCTATCGTGGCGCCGCCTGAGAGGTTGAAGTATCTAACTCGGCGTCAGTTTCTCCCGCCAGGCACAGCGTACTTCGCTTATATGTAACGGTGGAGACCGTACGAGTGGTTGGTCATGTTGATAACCGTCTCCTCGGCGCCGCCCACAAGCTCAGCCTCGTATTCCTGGCTCAAGACGGTGACTTCTTTGCCGTCCTCGGTGATCTTGCCCGCCGTGTAAAACACTTTAACCGCGACCTCTCCGGGGAATCCCTGGTCGCCGTCCTCGCTTGTCAAGGCGAACTCGACGGTCTCGCCGCCCTTTAGCTCGCCGCTGATGCCGGGAATAGTCTTGCGCACGCCGACGGGCGTCGGTCCCTTCCAGATGCGCTTGCCCCAGCCCACGTCACCGCCGTGCAGGGTGTTGGGCCCGTTGTTGGCGACGAAGCTGTAAGACTTGCCGCCGTTGATGGTGATCTTGGCGCCGGAGATGCGGTTCGCGACGCGGCCGATGGTGGCGCCGAAGTGCGGGCTGTTGTGAGCGGCGTAGTCTTCCTGGGTCGGGAATCCCTGGACGATGTTCACGCCGCCGACCTTGAAGGATTGGATGATGGCGCCCAGGGGCACGAAGGCAATCTCGTCTGCCATGGCGGATGTAGCAATTGCAGTATCGACAACAGTACGATGCTAGTATTCGGTAGGTACTTTCTCCGCCTTCGAGCGAGCAGGGTACCTCGGGTTATCTAGTTGGCAATTCGAGGGAGGGCTCGTAGATATAGCTACCTAGAGAGGATGGGAATTGTCCACTCTCGGTTGCGCCGGCCATTCAGGCTATATATGAACAGTTCACGAGACATGAGGTGACGGAGGGGGACGGATTGGGTGCGATGCGGAGAGAGGGAGCGAGCTCTAGTGCTTTTTCTTCGTGACGTAGGTACATCGACAAGGACATCCCACCGCGGGTCTCGTTCCCCTCCATGCCTTAGGTACCATCTATCCAAGGTACCTCGGGCCAATTCCGTGACGGGTAGCCCGAGACTTTGGTATGGTACCTAGCTCCTAAGATACCGATCTGTTATTCTGCCCGCAATAAGAGGTAACCCACCATGAGAGATGAGGTACCTGTAATGGTAGCGGACGTTATTGTTAGGCAAGGTTCGGTACCTGTGGCGATGAAAGCTTCAGGTACTTCCTAAGCAGGTACCTACCTAAGGATAAGCCATGAGGAGTTGTAGTGGGGTAATACGGCGGGGTAGGGGAAATCCATCCCTGGCCGGTGAGGTGGGAACCCGATCACTCCGCCGAGCTCGCTCGCCCCGTGCTAACTACTTATATGTAGACAGCCCGGTGTTTTCCCGCTGGTAAGGGGGTGACGCTCAAGGGGCTGATTCCTCCCGTGTCCCTCCTGCTCCGCCCTGCTCGGCTGCGAATACCAGCGGTGAGCGACTCATGTCGAGCATGGAACCGGAAGAGGGGGTTCAGATTACCAAGATGGACTAGCCACCCTCTTTGGGAGTTGGGTAGAGTAGAAGTCGTCGATCTCTCTCTGCCCTACACGCGAGGAAGAGCAGGGGTGAGAAGATGCGCAGCCAGGATTTGTAACGGCTTATTCTGATATCGCAGAACACCTTGCACGTCGCCGGATTCTAAGTCAGGATTCCGGGGCATAACCAGAACTCGCACAGCCCCCTCGTGGCAGGAAGAGAACTCGCTGGAAACATGCTGCTACCTACATAGAGCCAATCGTGCCGTCGCCACGACCCCTGTGATGCATAACCTGCACATACTCATCGGAGCGCGCATCTCTTAACCTCCCTATCCGGGTACTTCCCGCCATCCTGTCCGCATTGGGCGCCTGTGAAGTGAAGGCAGATATCGCGGTACCTTACATTGCCTGCCTGACGTACCCACCTTAGGTACCTAACCTATTCCCCCCTGCCTGGGGCTCGGTACCTATAAGGTGCCCTTCCCAGCTCGAAGCGCGTGCTCAGGCGGCTCCCTGGTCAGGTATCCCTGTCCCTCTCTGTCAGAATCTGTACCTACCTGAGGTACCTACGCGCCAGCAAGGTACCTCCTGTAGCCGTGTGTGCTGCCCCGTCTCTGTGCCCACGTGGAGATGCCCGGCCCTGGCGCTGGCTTGTCCAGGGCAGTTTGGAGTGTTGTCCATCCATCTTCGTCAACCAGCGAGCTGTATCGCATCTACATGTACCTCTGTGTCGTCGTGCCCAGGCCGGGACACACGTACCTGCGCAGTGCCTGGTATGTACCCACCTTATCTAAGATGTGTACCTATCGTATTGTATATGTGTACGTATGTACATGCCGTGCATGGATCTACCCTGGTGGGTACGGAACATCGGCGAGGCCAGGTACATCACGAGGTACCTCACACATGTCCACCCGTCCACCCAAGCCCGCTTGGACTGGATCTAACCTCCTAACCATTCCGTCCATCTCACCCTCTCCCCATCCCGCCCTGCCAATTAATGCTCTGCTTTGCACACCAATACTTCGTTACCTCTGTCCAGTCTATACCGGCCGGTGCTACACCCTCTCTACTTCTCTCTCTCTCTCTCTTCGCTCTCTCGTTGCATACGCCCCTCGTCGTATCCGAGCCTAAGCCAGACACACTCCCTATCCGGTTCAACCAGCCGCTCCCCAGAGCCTTCCAACCTGAACAAACCTCTACCTTCCGCCTAACCAACGGCCTGTGTGCTAGATGACGCGGCGGTGGGGGATAACACCATCGTTATTCACGAGCAACTGAATTCGCTAGCTGCTTACCTGACCTATAAATGAGACACTTCCAGCTGGCGACACCGATGGCCGACCAGCTCTAGCTCCTCGAGCTCTCTCCGCGAGCAAAATAACCCACTTCATCACATCCCCCTCTCCCTTTTGTCCTTCAACCTCCTTTCGTCTATCTGTCATCCCCAGAACGCCTGGTCATGGCCGAATCGTCGTTGTGGCCGATGGGGGCTACACCTAAGCGGAAGCGCGATGATGTGATCCTGGAGGAGCACGCCTTCAGCGGCCAGTCCCGAGGCCTCACCCTACCCAAGACCACCTTCTCGTTTCAACCCCCGATCTCCCTACCCGCCAGCCATCCTCACCACGAGCGTTCCGAAGACGGTAACAGCAGCCCTCGGAGCAAGGTAGCCCAGAAGTTCCAGGAGCTCGCCCTAGAAAGTGGGGGCGGGGTAATCCATGGTGACAGGGCGGATCGGACGGTTGTTGTGGGAACGGGAGCTGAGGAGGCTAACCCTGGATGTGACCCGGGTCCTGCGAGCCCACGCTTTTCCCCGGAGCTCCCCATCTTCGACTTCGATGGCGATATTGACGGCAACCGCGGCAGCCACCACACCGAGATCGAGAATATGCACCTTGACGACGACGACGACGACGGAGCATCGCACAAGCGCATCAGGCTTCAAGACCCAAATCCCCGCCAAGACACCGCCGCCACGGGATTGAACGGCCGTGCCATCCCAATTGCGCCTAAGCCCATCCAACCTAACGAACCACATCATTTTGCGCTACAGCCAACCGCGGGGCGAACAACTTTCAAGGCGACGAAAAGCAATGGCCACGGGCACTCGCAGACTCCAAATCTTCCCACCAACCGGGGTTCCGCCTCCCACTCGCGCAATCGAAGGCGGGCCGGCACACCGCCCCTGTCGAAGAGAAGGACGACGGCGCTCTCGGCCGAAGAGCCTGCTATCATCGACCCTATTCGCGCGGCACTTACCTGGCACGAGGACGAGATTACCGTGTATGACCCCGACGACAAGGATGACGACGGCACCGGCATCAACGGCATCGGGTTTAAGCCGACCCCGGCTATAGCCTATGCTCGGGCGCAGAAACGCAGACAGCAGCTGGCCGAGTACAGGAAGCGCGAGGAGAGTGAAGCAAGGGCGAGGCGAAACCAGCGCCGTCGAGGTAAGCTCGGCGGCGCCTCCGAATTGGACGCGAACCATTCTATCGTGCGGGTGCGTTTCTCCGATGCAGAACCGACTACGGCGGTCACGATTTGACACCACCCTATTATTTCCCCGATTCTTAACACTTGTCACCTCGAGAACTTTGGGCGTTACGCGTTATGCGAGGCTGAAAAAAAAAAAGGCCGATCGCAGACGGATTGGTACGGCGTTGGGTGGCTCTGGACAGGATTGTAGGAGCCAGGAAACGGTCAACGAGGTTGGAAGGGCGACGTATTCTATTAGGTTGACTTGGGTTTCGATTTTTCTATGGAGCCCTCCCGCGAGGAGCACGCCTGGCGTTTGGACTCTATACAGCCGATCGCTTTACCGATATCCATCCCGCTGGCATCGAGACTGACCAAGGGGTGGCAGTTTCGATTAGTATTCATGTGCGCACGGCCACTTCCGGTAGTAGTAGACGGGTCAGGGGAATCTTACCCTGAGTATCCAATCCCTCAATACCAATACAACTCACGATGTAACACCAGTCCTCACTGGGCCGTCTCTCCTTCTCCCTCTCTCCCTCCCTTCTCTGTTCTTCGCCTTGTTTCTTCGGTGCGAGCCGTCGTCCCGAGTCACGTAGTCTCAGGTAAATCGTAGATGGGGATCACCAAAATTTGTACCAGCTTTTCCTCTTGGCTGCGGCCTCGCGCTCCAGCTTTTCGGCAGCTTCCTGCTGCAGCCTCGCGGTCTCGGCCTTCTTCTCGGCCTGTTTCCGGTCTATGACCTCGACGACGCGCGCCATGGCGACGAGCTCGCTCGCCCGCTGCGCCCGGCAGTACTCCCACTGCCCGATGCTGGCCACGAAGAAGGTGCCGAAGGCCCAGTTTGCCGCCTTCGGGATCCGCGCTGTGGCCCCGCGCGGGCGGCGGTTAGCGGGCGCTGCGGGAGATGTTGTCGGTAGGCGGGGGGAGGGGAGGGGGGGTTGGACGTGGGGTTATATGCGCGCACAGGCGTGCGCGTCGTCATGGGCGGGCAGGGACTGGTTTACCTCCGACGAGATAGCGGCCGAAGCCGGCGACGGTGCCGGCCACGATGCCGGTCATGAAGGCCTGGCGGGCGCAGGGGATGCGGTGCACGCCGAAGAAGTCGTCGCGCTTGATGGACTGGATCCCGTCGCGGATGGTCGGCGGCGGCTGGCCCGGCGCCGCGGGAGCGCCCTGGCCCGGCCCGTGGAATATCTCGTGGATCTGCGGCTTGCCGACGTGGGCCGGCGGTGCCGTAGCACCGGGAGGGGGGCCGCGCGCCGCGGGAGGTGGCTGGTCGTCTTGCGCCATCGGGGCCTGGACGGGCGGGCTGACGTGAGGGCGGCCGGGCGGACTCGGTGGTTTGGCTCGTGGTTGGTAGGTGGGCGGGCTTTGGTGCTGGGGAGAGCGAGCGCAGCAAATTCGGGATTGTGTATTGCACAGGGTAGATCTTATGCAGGAAGATGTGCATGCACGTTGTGTACAAAGTTGTGTATGAGTAATGTAATGGATGCCATAAGGAGCAAATTGTGGGCGATCTTATCTACCCAGATATGCCAGTTATGGTGTCGTATGCATTAGACGGGGCTCTTAAAATGGAGTATTGATTGATCGAGAGACCAAAACGCGACGCGGTCCGCGACGCGTAGCGAGTAATGACTGGGGCCCTGTTGGCTCCTGGGAAAGAGCCATTCATTGGAGGGGACCTTGTATGCTCGGATTCTTCCCACCCACTTACACCGTAACAATACACCACCCTCATTCATTATAGAAGAAAGACTCGAGAAATTCCTCAATTTCTACCCCAAAGCGGCCAATTTTCTTCAGTTGCCCTGGTTCTCTAAACAAAGTTCCCGTTCCCTTCATTCGAATTTTCCTGTGCCAAATCATGCTCGCCAGGCCTTACGTCGAGACATTGTAGGGTCCCTGAGATATCCGAGTCCTTGACGAAGCGGACCTCCAAATCTACCCTACCTCTCCCTCTCTACCCAATCCCGCCAGTATGCCCAACACGTCTCTACGTCGCCCCCAAAAGGGCTATGTTCGCCGCGGCGGTAAGATGGCCTACCATGGCGCAAACCGGACCCGAACGTTCGCCGCCTCGACCACGCGCACTGAAGCCACGTCGGCCGACGAGAAGATCGAACGGACGCGCCTCGCGCAGCAGATCGACGAGTCGATGGGCTTCGCCAGATACGAGTCGGGCCGGAAGAAAGAAGGGTGGCTCGTCAACGTCCAGCCGACCACCGTGGCGCTCGAGGACGACCGGTCTCCTGGAGGCAGGGCGGCGCTCGACTGCTACTTCATCGAAGAAGACGGTCAGACATTCAAGGCAACCATCGAGTACGAGCCGTACTTTGTGATCGCGTGCCGGAAGGGGAGAGAGAGCGAGGTTGAGGAGTGGGCGAAGCGAGTCCCCGGCGGAGGCCTGGTCCACAACGTCAGGCGAGTCGAAAAGGAGGACTTGTCCATGCCGAACCATCTGCTCGGGTATAGAAGGACATTCCTCGAGCTGCATTTTAGGAATGTGTCAGACCTGATGACCGCGAGGAGGGATATCATGCCTATAGCGGAGAAGAACAGGAAGTCGATGGGGGCCATCGATGTTTATGCCGAAGTTGCTTCGTGAGTCCTTCCTGCTCGCGAGGGTCACAGTGCTGTATCGGCAAGCCAGCCGCTAACACGCGAAAAAGCGAACAAGCGGGAATTGACCTCTTTGATGATTCACGAGACGACGATACACGAAATAATGCCTCATTTTCCGACGCGAGCGAGTACATCGTCGATATTCGGGAGTATGATGTACCCTACCATGTAAGAGTAATGATTGATATGGGTACGTCCACGCTTTCTGCCTCCTCGCGTTGCTTATGACTAACAGGGACACGCTAGATATTCGAGTAGGAAAATGGTATTTCGTGGAAGTGAAGCATGGCATTACCACTTTAAAACTTAACGAAGAACACTTGGTCCAGGCCGACCCGGTAGTAATGGCCTTCGATATAGAAACGACCAAGGCACCTCTAAAATTTCCCGACGCCGCGATAGATCAGATCATGATGATGTCTTACATGATCGACGGACAAGGATTCCTCATCACGAATAGGGAGATCGTGTCGGAGGACATCGCGGATTTCGAGTACACACCCAAACCAGAATATCCGGGACCGTTCATGATTTTCAACGAGCCCAACGAGAAGGCCGTCATCGAACGGTTCTTCTCCCACGTGAAGGAGGCTAGACCGACTGTCATTGCCACCTACAACGGAGACTTCTTCGATTGGCCTTTCGTCGAGGCGAGAGCGAGTGTCAACGGCATCGATATGTATCGCGAGATTGGGTGGAAAAAAGACAGTGAGGATATCTACAAGTGCACGTATGGTGTCCACATGGACTGTCTAGCGTGGGTCAACCGAGACTCCTATTTGCCCCAGGGTAGTCGAGGTCTGAAGGCGGTCACCGTTGCCAAGCTGGGCTACGACCCGGACGAACTCGATCCCGAACTCATGACGCCGTACGCGGCCGAGCGGCCTCAGACTTTAGCCGAGTACTCGGTTTCCGACGCCGTCGCCACGTATTACCTGTATATGAAGTATATTCACCCCTTCATTTTCTCACTCTGTACAATTCTTCCCCTGGGTGGCGACGACGTGCTACGGAAAGGAACCGGTACCCTGTGTGAGATGTTGTTGATGGTGCAGGCATATCAACACGAAATCATACTACCAAATAAGCACATATCTCCAAAAGAGTCCTTCTGGGACGGGCACTTGCTCGATGCTGAGACATACGTCGGTGGCCACGTCGAAAGTATCGAGGCGGGTGTGTTCCGGGCTGATATCCCGGTCAACTTTGTTGTCGACCCCGGAGCTGTCGACGAGCTGCTTCGTGACTTGGACGCGGCCCTCAAGTTTGTTGTCGAAGTCGAAGAGAAGAAATCCTTGGATGATGTCACGAACTACGAGGAGGTGAGAGACCAGATCGCGTCACGCCTAACTCAGCTCAAGGAGACTCCGAATCGAAACGAAAGGCCGTTGATCTATCATCTGGACGTCGCGTCCATGTACCCGAATATCATGACAACGAATCGATTGCAACCCGACTCCATGATCCAAGAATCAGACTGTGCCGCCTGTGATTTTAACCGTCCCGGGAAGAGTTGCGATAGGAGAATGCCTTGGGCATGGAGAGGGGAATACCTGCCCGCGAAAAGGGACGAATACAACATGATCCGACATGCTCTCGAGAACGAGAAATTTCCCGGGAAGCGCCCCGACGCACCCATGCGCACATTTCAGGAATTGACGGAGGAGGAACAAGCTAATCTCACGAGAAAACGGTTGCAATCATACAGCCAAAAGGTCTACCACAAGATTCGCGATTCGACAACTATTGTTCGGGAAGCGATCATCTGTCAACGCGAGAACCCATTCTATATCGACACTGTCCGGGACTTCAGAGACCGACGGTATGACTACAAGGGGCAAGCGAAAGTTTGGAAAGGCAAGACCGATGCCCTGAAGTCCTCCGGGGCGCCAAGCTCTGAAGTCGATGCTGCCAAGAAGATGATTGTCCTTTACGACTCTCTTCAGCTGGCGCACAAGGTCATTCTCAACTCGTTCTACGGCTACGTCATGCGAAAGGGCTCAAGATGGTACTCTATGGAGATGGCAGGCGTCACATGTCTAACGGGCGCGACGATCATTCAGTTAGCGAGATCACTTGTCGAGCGTCTTGGACGACCCCTGGAACTGGACACTGACGGCATCTGGTGCATGTTGCCCGCGACCTTTCCCGAGAACTTCGCGTTCAAGCTCAAGAACGGCAAGAAATGCGCCATCTCCTACCCCTGCGTGATGTTGAACCACCTTGTACACGCCAAATTCACCAACCATCAATACCAGACATTAGTCGACCCTAAGAGGTTCAAGTACGAGACACACAGCGACAATTCAATCTTCTTCGAAGTCGATGGCCCGTATAAGGCTATGGTCTTACCAACATCGAAGGAAGAAGACAAGAACTTGAAGAAGCGATATGCGGTCTTTAACGATGATGGCAGCTTGGCAGAGCTGAAGGGGTTTGAAGTGAAGCGAAGAGGTGAACTCAAGCTCATCAAGATCTTCCAACAGCAGATTTTCAAGTTCTTCTTAGAGGGAACCACCTTGACCGAATGCTACGCCGCGGTAGCCAAGGTTGCGAATAGATGGCTCGACGTGCTGCACAACAAGGGCTCGACGCTGGCTGATGAGGAGCTCATCGATCTCATTTGCGAAAATCGAAGCATGTCCAAGACTCTCGAAGAATACGGTACCCAGAAGTCCACCTCCATTACCACAGCAAAACGACTAGCAGAATTTCTAGGCGAACAAATGGTCAAGGACAAGGGTTTGAACTGCAAATACATCATCTGCGCAAGACCCCGGAGTGCCCCTGTGACGGAGCGCGCCGTGCCTGTGGCGATCTTTTCAGCTGCGCCGGAAGTCAAGCGCACATACTTAACCAAATGGCTCAAGGAAGAACCGTCTGATACGGATCCTAGAGCGTTGTTAGATTGGGATTACTATCTAGAACGTCTAGGATCCGTCATCCAGAAGCTGATCACCATCCCCGCGGCCCTGCAGAAAGTTCGGAATCCAGTCCCACGAGTGCTGCATCCCGACTGGCTCCAGCGGCGGATCAACATCAAGGACGACAAGATGAAGCAGAAGAAGTTAACCGATCTCTTTCCGAAGGGACCACTGGAGGATATAACAAATGTGTCGGTAGCTAGGCTAGATGACCTCGAGGATTTTGGGACCAAGCTCTTGAAGCCGAAGAGCATCACCGCTGCCATCAACGCATCTCAGCAAACCCAACCTGCCCCGACGGCAGCGAAGCGGAAATCGCCCGAGCCCGAAAAGGAAAACCTGGATCCATTCGCGGCGCTTCCCAAGGAGATGCCTGATCCATCCGAGGACTATCCGGCGTTTTTGGAATACCAGAAGAAGAAATGGAAGATCCAGAAGCAGGCCCGAATACGTCGCCGGCATCTCTTTGGAGAGCATCGTACTAACGCAGGCAGCAATATCCAGCAATCTTTCCGCCAGCGAGCCGAGGTCACGTTCAGAAATACCTGGCAACTGCTGCAACTTCGAACGACAGACAATCCAGGCATAGTGACGGCTTTTGTCTTGATCGATGCCAAGGTTCACTCGCTCAAGATCAAGGTACCCCGGCAGTTATTCCTCAACTTAAAGGCTAAAGACCTACCTGATATCGACGTAGACGGCTGCGAGGTTGAGCAGGTCTACCATACCCTTCCTAACGGGCACGCGTCAACGCACCTCTTTAAAATCACCGTACCCGAGGACATCTACTTTGCAGAAGCAGAGAAGTTCTCGTTGCTATCGAATCACCCCAGTGTAGAAGGCATTTACGAGAAGCAGGTTGCATTAAACCTGCGAGCAATGCTTAAACTTGGGAACACGTGCACCATTGATGAGACCCAGCCCGGGGTGCTCGGAAAGGGCCTCGAGCAGGGCTTCGACCTTGGGGGCTTAATAAAACCGACGAAGCCGAAACCCTACTTAGAAACGAACCCGTTGGCGTATCTTTACATCTCGCACATCACGGCCGGCGAGCGACAGATCTTCGGACTGTTCTCGTCGACAAAGGACCAAGCTCACATAGTCATCCTCCAGAAGAGTAGGGACGCCGGCCAAGACCTGCCGAACGTCACCAAGATATACAGCGAAATGTTTTCCCGGAGGTTACGGGAAGCCGAAGGCACCAATTGGCAAGATTGTTTTGGGTATCAGGAGAAACTCACCTTCAAGACGACACAGGTGACCACACGACGAAAGGCGCATCTCGAGATCAGCGATCTCATCAAGAAGATGAAGAAGGACGAGTTAAAACCGTTGATGCTGGTTATTCAGTCTTCGCAACAGAACCTCCTCGTCCACGACGTTCCCATCCTCGCCGAGTTCCCCATCCTACCCCTTCGATACGACCAGGCTGACAGCTCCCTCCCTCCGCTCGGTTGGCAGTCCGTCGTCGCCAAGCGCATAGTCACGCATTACCTCAACCTTGGATCTTGGATCCTACACCTTACCGCACTAGCAAGATACGGCGATATACCGTTGTGCAACTTGGAGCGCGACGATCCTAGATTTATCATCGATGTTGCGTACGCGCGCCGTTTGCAGTTGAACAACGTGGTGTTGTGGTGGTCATCCGGGTCTAAACCGGACCATGCCGGTTACGAGCAGGACGACGTGATGGGCCCCCTAGATACCGTCTCCATGCCATCAGCTAATACTCCCGGCACGTACGCCTCGGTATGCATCGACCTTGAAGTCCGAAATCTCGCTATCAATACTATCCTCACATCATCCCTGATCAATGAGCTCGAGGGCTCGGACTCGATCTCCTTCAACCCGGCTGCCGACTCCGCACCGTCCGATGGATCCGAAATGCTTCATTCCGAGTCGGCGTTCGCCAATGCCGGGGTGCTTGTACTACGTGAGATGGTCAAGTCGTGGTGGGCAGAGGCTTGCAAGGGCAGCCCGATGGCCGACGTGATGGTCCAACACCTCGTGCGCTGGGTGGAATCCCCTGATTCTTTCATGTACGACCGCACGCTCCACTACTACGTTCAGATGATGAGTCGTAAAGCTCTGCTGCAACTCATGGCAGACTTCCGCCGCGTCGGCTCGCACGTCGTGTTCGCGAATGCGAACCGACTGCTCCTGCAGACGACCAAGACAGAGGTGGGCAACGCGTACGCTTACAGCCAGTACATCTTGAAGAGTATCAAGAGCAAGCCTCTGTTCCACTTCATCGACCTCGAGATTAAAGAGTATTGGGACTACCTTGTGTGGTACGACGAGTTCAACTATGGCGGAAAGGCCTGCCAGGAGGTCGTGGAAGCCGAGCAACAGAGTCTCCAGACGATCATGAACTGGCAGATGAAGACTTTCCTGCCGTCCCGCCTACAGGATACCTTCCAGCACTGGGTAGTGGAGTTTATACACCTCATGCACAACCTGAAGCGGCCCCAGTCTGCCGACGGGGAGCCGGGCGCGACGCCCCGCCTCACGCAACTACCACTGCGCAACGGTTCTCAGGGTGACGGCGACAACGGGACGCAGATTATACTCAACAAACCGTTCGAGAAATTGCTGAAAAAGGAGATTCGGCAGCTAGTCTCGACGCAGGCGCGCGAGCTACTACACCCGGAGCTGGCGTCAGACTGGTCGTTCCCGGTCCTACCGGGGAGCCACCAAAAAGATATGCGCCATCGGAATGCCGTGCTGGAGCTGGTCAAGAGCTTGATGCAGGTGCTGTCGCTTGACAAGAACATCACGATGGAGGCGCGGCTGCTGCGCAAAGAGCTGCTAGCGCTGTTCGAGGTGCGCGAGTTCAGCAAAGAGGGCGCGTTCGCAAACCCGAGCGAGAGCCTCAAGGTGGCGCAGTGGAGCTGCCCCGAGTGCACGCTCGCGCGCGACTGGGACCTGTGCCGGGACGAGGCGCTGCTGCCGGACCTAGCGAGCATCGCAGCCGCCGCCGCCGCCGCCGCGGGAGACGGGATGGCAAGCGAGGCGGCAGCGACGGAGGCGGCGCGCAGGGCGGCGGCGGCCAAGGCGTGGCGCTGCGCGTTCTGCGACGCGGAGGTGAACCGGCTGCGGGTGGAGGAGCGGCTGCTGGCGGAGGTGCAGGGGCTGGTGGTGGAGTGGAGCACGCAAGACGTGCGGTGCGAGCGCTGCGGCAGCGTGCGGCTCAACGACATGATGGAGCACTGCACGTGCAGCGGGCGCTGGGCCGAGAGCGTGCGCCGCGACGAGGTGCTGGGCCGGCTGCGCGTGCACGCCGGCGTCGCGCGCTGGTTCGGCCTGCGCATGCTGGAGAGCCTCGTCGCCGACGTGCTGGCCGAGGTATAGATACCTAGAATGGGAGGCGAGGCGAGTGAAGCCTCTGCTGCACGTGACTAGCTGGCGAGAGCGACGGGGGAAATGGGTTCCGAGCCCGTAATACCCGGGGTTATGTGTATTGCTGGTCTCGGTTGCGGGTTAATATAGGTAACGGTATGGAAAAGGCATGTGAAGGCTGCGGCTGGGAAATGTTGATATAGGTACTCTGAGCTGATTTTGATAATCTTGACATCTAGTATAGCCCCATTTCGTAACTCTTGTCACCTACAAGTCACCGTAGGCATAACGTCTCCAGAAATCCCACAAGGATACCTATCTAGTAAACACCCCGGCGTGGCAATAGAAGCTTCAAGGTAGAAATTAGCCCGGCACGCTTATGTATAGCATCATATACCTACCTGTCGTCGCGATGTTCTACCGAGACGATACGTTAGGACGGATTATCAACCTACCCTCCAGTCGGTCTAACCCCTTCAATGCATGTCTTCGTCGCCACAGGACGTTGGGAAACGCAGCTCCTGCAGTCTCGCGCCGGGATTGGTTTGCAGTCCTGGCGCGCAGATCCTTTGCTTCCCGCCGGCGCCCCCAGCAGGCTTTGTATTACTTCTTACTCTCGTTGCGGTAGTGGGCGAGTGAGGCGGATAACGGATAAGACCACGCACAGCCGTGCTAGCCCTCGCCGTTCTTCTGCAGTACTCAGCACCAGTGGAGAACCGAGCAGTCTTCTCCCCGTTCTACAGCTTGGAGCCGCTTCACGTTTCCCTTCCAGGCACGATAGGAACTCCCCCGTCCCTGTCCCTAGCCGCGACTCTCACCTGCGCCACCAATACGTAACCAATGCGGTACGTACAAGCGTCACCCCTCCACGTGATAGCCTGCTAGAGATGAATAGACCGCTAAACTTCTCTCATAGCCACGAATATCGAGCCGCTACTTCTAGAATTGACGCACACCTTTACAATGACGTCTATAACCTTTGGCGTCTAAAGACTCTCGCCGTCTGGGGAGCGACGGATGCTAACTAAACGTTCACTCTAGAGCCTATTACCCGCAATGTGGCGGAACAGGGGATAGAGAGCGGCGGCAACCCCATGGGCATACCGAGGGAAAGCCATATATGTGAGTTCCTCTACATCACGTGTAGATATCGTGTTACTCCCAGGAGAAGGGGGGTTGAAGAGGTGCTGATTCTTCCGACTAGGGTGGGCAATGCTCGTCGGCCGAAGACGACGACGCGGTGCGATCCGCCAGCATACTGAGACCACCTGGCAGTGGAAGAAGCTCGGAGAGGCCCGCGGCGCACACATCCCCTTCCTATTACACATGAACAGCGCCTCGCGAGATCAGAACCCCCTCGCTTCGTACGTCGCCGAGAACGTGGAGCGGCTCAAGAAGGCCTCGCAAAAGTACGGCAGCGCCCAGTTGTTCCAAACACAGCAAAATAGAGGCTTACTTCTTCCCAGGGTTTAGCTAGTTGCCGTCGCTTGTGAGTTTAACAAAGAGTGTCTCGCCTGAGAATGGACATGGTAGATCCTCACAGCGACGAAGATACGCTGGTCAGTAGGGAGTTACCCCATTAACCCTATTGGTTTGCTTCCGTAATTCCTCACATCTTTACATCATATTCTTAGCTCTGTAGTGAAGTTTCATCAATGTCTGAAAGAGCCCCAAGCTCCTGTCAATTCCGAGACTCGGAGTAGAGTTAATTGTTATTGTAGTTAAGCGATATGCTATTTTATCAGGGAAATATTACGATTTTATACAATATTCTACCATAGAAGTAGCCACCAAAAGACAACAGTCATAAATATATACCTACCACGGTTGGACATTCAGAGTTGGGTTCACTCAATGTTACGCTTCGCCATATTGATGATTTATTATACCCGAGTTTACTCTGATCCCGGGAAGCTTATTCTGAAGTAGTATGCCAATACTATCATCCAATCTATCGTATGTATGCTCTTAACTTATCTCATAGTGACCCTTCACTTCTATACTACAGCCGCCGTGAGCGCTAGATGGCCAATTGTGAAAGGTAGTTTGAAGTACCCTAGGACAAGCCTCTAGAATACTCTACCTAGGTCGTATCGCACGGCGACCTCTCTCAGCCTATGCACGCTTTCCTCTCCGTAACTCTCCAAAACGCCTTAACCATGGCTCGCGTCATTCATGAACAGACACCTAACGTTGCCATCTCCCGCGCGAGACGCCGCTTCTCCCACCTCGCTTATTCGGGATTGCGTAGTGCCGTGAACCCTCGTATCGCCCACCTGTGATGCCCAGCGCCGAGTCGAGGCCGAGCCAGGTCTGGTTGCGAGCTCCCAATCCCAGCGCGTTGCCGCCGCGTGCGTGTCGAGCCACGACGGCGCTCGAGTATACGAGCTGTATTCCGAAGGCTAATAGGCCCCCCCAGGAAGGAGCTGATAACCGCTACCTGCAGTGATGCCGATAGGCCGCTGTATACGGCTTTGGAGGGGGCAAAGCTGGTGGCCCGCCAGTCAAACCTGAATGAAGGATACTGTTGGGCGCTACGCGGAGGTCAAAAGACTAGACATGCCGACCAAAACCCCATCGTCAATACTAGCCGCATTCGGTAGCAGCAAGTGACCACCAGAACGTAGATCAAAGCTCACGTTCACAGACACAAGGAGTGGTATAATAATAGTCTGGAGCTCCTCGGCGTCAGCCGGCTAGAAAATGCGCGTAGGTGACCCCCGAGCCGTCTGGGTCCTATTATTGATACGAAACCTACAAGAGGCGGATATTAGGGAGGTATGGATGGACGGGCTAAACAACGCACCAGTTCCTGGTCCCCAGACGCTCATATCTCGGTTCTGTCGGCATGAAGTTGGCTCGACGGAAAGACTTCTCTAGGTCTTGGCTCGCAGCTTTTCTGGCATCTAGCGATGCGGCCAAGGCGCCCACCAAGGAGATAGGAACCACGCTGGGTGGCTACCGGGTACGAAACTGCACCGTCGCCATTCTTCAGTAGTAAATAATAGGTGAGAGAGCAGGTCTTTACTGACCGCTCACGATCGTCTTCGCGGTATATTTGCAATCCAACACAGACGCTCAGTTAGCCCACCCGAGAGCCCTAATATCACCTATAAGATTTTCGAAAGCAACCCCCTCCCCTAAGTTAACCATCGGCGCTAACAGCACCGGGGAGCGATGCCGAAAACAGTAATTCTAGTCCACACTTGATCATCTTAGCTTATTGCATGGGCATTCTCTAGAAGTCCCCTGCTGGTATCATGTATGTCATCCCCTATACATATGTTAACTCGCGCAATTCAATAACAGTGCAGACGGTACGATTCCGGGGCAGAATTATGCGGCGTGAGGTGCGGAATGCGTGGGTTGCGAGGGATGCGAGCGGAAACCTCGCCTGCGAGCTGTGAAGGATGGGGTAAGCGTCACATCGTATTGCACACACCACAGAGAACCCTGCAGCCAATATCTACCTTGTGGTAGTATAAGGTGTGTGATCAAAAGATATTTCGTGAGGTGTACGTGCACTAGGATGTGGAGGGCGACCGTAAGATCGGGGTGAAGAGTATGGCGGTCCTGTTCGGCTCGCGGGTGAAGCCGGTGCTGTGAGCCGTCCTCAGCTGTATTACGATGCTGTTCCCCGCTCGCGCCGGTTCGGTGATGGACTTGGGGTTTCCTTATGGTCTCCTTGCTATGGAGTACTGCGCTACGTCGCTCAAGGCTATGATCGCGAGGGTGAGGCTCAGGAACCCGTACAGTTTTGGTCAGCTCTCCAGTGCGATTACACGGGAACCCCTGAAACTGCCCGGCTCACGGTCCTAAACAAGAACCGTCGAGTGTTGCCTTTATGAGGCGTGAGCCACGCTGCCCCCCAATAACTTCAAAAGCCGTAAGATTTAACAACAGTGGCTCCCTCCCGGCTTTGCGTTTCTCCCTAATTTCTAGGACCCTACATGCCCGGAGAGGTAAGGGCTCAGACGAGGTCATGTTAGAGTGGCTACACGTTCTAGAGACACGCAGACACTCCCGCCTTGATGTTGATGAAAATGGGTTCAAAAAGAATCTACAACCAAGATCCACTGCGTTATCCTGCACCGGAAAGCTTTCCCCAGCATCACACAGCTAATAGTGATTACCCAGGAGAGATAGAGCGCGATAATACCAGCCGAGAAAGCATGGCATTACCAGTACTCCGCTCTGACTTGTGTTCCGTCGGCATGAAGCTCCGGCTCGTAGAAATTGCACGCATTTCTACTGCAAACAAAATGCATACCCCTAGCAACACGTTTGTCCCGATTCGCAGCCTGCCTTCGGCTCGGAACTCCGCAATGATGGCATTTGGGGTTGTTGGGGTCAAGGCCTTCAGGGCCGGCAAATCCAGCGAAATTACCGCATTCGAGACATATATCGTACCGCCGGTTAGCGTTCCCGTTCGGGTTGAATGGGCTGGTTATCTTTCTCGTTGTAGGATTCCCGCATTTGTAACAGGCTGGCGGCGACGCCGGGATTTCGCCCGAAGTTGACATATCAAAAGAAAACTGCGCCGCCTACGCCTAAATGTTAAGTAGATATCTCGTACGAAAGGAATCGGAACTAAACATTACCTCCATAATGTGCCACCGTCTCTGGCCGTTTGCCGTGGAGATAGGCTTTTTTGCGATGCAAATTATGGCAATATTCCAAGTGTAGTAGAGGTACTATGCATGGTCTCGGGGTTCAGGGTGGCACTCGACGTTGCGGGAGGGGGAGTCGACGCTTGATATATAATGCTGGTTCGCGGCCAACATGCCGTCTACAGCCCTCCCTCCACCCGGCACACACACACACACATCAGCCCCGGCCCCAGAGCAGCCAGGGCGGAGCAAGTGTACAATGGCGACTGGCCATCGTGGCGAATTCGACGCATCTGGCCGCTTCCATGATCGCTGCGGAGGACTCCCGTGGCCGATTGGGCCGCGGCCGATGTTAGAAGACGGCACAGGCCAACCGATATCCAGATAGTTATCGGGGTCGTGGGAGGGCTGTGTTATATGCCAGTCAGGAGGAGGCCGTCGCAGCCTGTCACGACCAACACGCGGGAAGACGTGGTGCCAACAGGATCAACCCCCGCTCGCGGACCGCCGCGGTTATCCGTCGGGAATTTCGCTAGCCAGTCGGTGCTGAGAACCGGCGAGGCCATGGGTTTTTGTTATTCATTTCTATCATGTCTGGTTGTAAACGACGGAAAAGAAGGGAAGAAGAGAGGGAGGGGGAGAAAGGCTGGGAGGATGGGAGGGGAGTTCAGAGTAATGGCTTGTCGTCTACGCATACCTACCTCCTACTTAGGTACCATACGGGGAGGGGGGGGTCTATGGACAGTATGTCAGCAATAGAGTCGGGGTACGGACACGGTAACTAAATCTAGTAAGGGTTACCTTAATTAGTCATTCTTTCGAAAGAGCTAAAAGAATTACAGCAAGGGTCGCGGTACCGACCTTATTACCTTCCCTTCTTATAATTTCAGGATGGTTTTTATGACTGCGTAGGAACCAATGTCCAGACGGATATAATGTCTATATATTCCATAGGTACCTACCTACCTACCTACCTACCTACCTACCTACCTACCTACCTACCTACCTACCTACCTACTTACCTACCTACCTATCTACCTACCTATCTACCTACTTAGACCTACCTACCTAGACCTGTTGTCTTCATCTTTTTTCTACAAACACCATGATCTACTACCCATCTTCGAACCTATCTTCGAACCTATCTGCGAACCTATCTACGAACCTATCTTCGAACCTGTGGGAGCTAGTTCAGGCATATGGAATCTATCTATCTTCGAACCTGTAGGGGCTAGTTCGCGCGTAGAATCTATCTATCTATCTTCAAACCTATCTTCAAACCTATGGGAGCTAGTTCAGGCATGTGAAATCTATCTATCTTCGAACCTATGGGAGCTAGTTCACGCGTGGAATCTATCTATCTTCGAACCTATCTGCGAACCTATCTACGAACCTATCTACGAACCTATGGGAGCTAGTTCAGGCATGTGGAATCTATCTATCTTCGAACCTGTAGGAGCCAGTTCGCGCGTGGAATCTATCTATCTATCTTCGAACCTATCTTCGAACCTGTGGGAGCTAGTTCAGGCATGTGGAATCTATCTATCTTTGAACCTGTGAGAGCTAGTTCAGGCGTATGGAATCTATCTATCTTCGAACCTATGGGAGCTAGTTCGCGCACGTAGAATCTATCTATCTTCGAACCTATCTTTGAATCTATGGGAGCTAGTTCGCACGCGTGGAATCTATCTATCTTCGAACCTATCTTTAAATCTATGGGAGCTAGTTTGCGCGCGTGGAATCTATCTATCTTCGAACCTATGGAAGAGGTAGGTAAGTAGGTAAGTAGGAGGTTAGGAGGTAGGTAACAGACGTAAAAGATACAAAGGTACAAAGGTACGTACTTAGTAACATAGAGGTAACCGGGTAATCCTATAGAATGTACCTTTTTTAAAATAAGGACATTATGTCCGGATGGTAACTATGTCGGGAAATGGTAATAATATCAGCCTAGAGTTTAACTTACTCTTATCACGAGGCAGACACTATGTCCAGTCATAGAAAGGGTTGCTGACATAGTGTCAATAGACCCCCCCCTCCCTATATGGTAGGTACCTGAGTTATCAAGGCGGTAAATTGAACCACCACGACGGAAGACCTACTATAGGAGGTACTCTACCTAGGTACTAGTAGTATTTACATGATGGTAACCTGGGACGCAGGTACCTGGACGTGATGTCACCGGCTCGCTCCGCACGTACCGCCTTTCCGCCTGGGTACCTGGACTTGGGCTGAGGAGGTACCTGATGAAGCAGGTCGGTCGCGCGGGGATTTCGACTTGACATCGCCCAACCTCTGCGCACCCAGGTACCCTGGGTACCTGCTGCCGGCACGTCAGATACCTGCACGACAGCGGCTCCGGCCAAGGACACCACCCACCGAGGTACCTGAGAGGCACGTACCTACATATACTGCTAGGTAGGTACCCAATATACCTAGTGAGCGTCGGCGATGGGGTATCTTAGCGTCAGGTCCACACGTCCACGGCGGCTGGCATGTACCCGAGAGCTACGGGGAGCTCACTGCCGCCTTGCAGTCCGCCGGATACGATGTCCACGTCCCACGCATGCCGTCCACCAACCCAGTACGCCCGCCAGACGCGGACCTGTCCAGCGACACGGCGCTTATCCGCAGCTACGTGGAAAGCTTGGTGCAGGACGGCCGTACCGTCGTCGCCCTCATGCATTCCTACGGCGGACAAGTCGGCACCAACGCCCTCCACGGGCTCGGTGTCGCCGCCCGTTCCGCCCGAGGTCTCCCGGGCGGCGTTTCGCGCCTCGTATACATGACTGCGTATGCCGTCGCCGAGGGCACTGCCATGATGGATAAGGTGAAGGAGTTTGGCCACATCGACCTCGTGCCGGTTGCTTTCGACTTCGCCGAAGACGGCAGCTGCGTTTCCAGCGATCCGAAAACCTTGGTCGTGGGCCCCGGTCGTGACGAGGCCGAGACCGAAGCCTACCTCAACACCTTGGTGCGTTGGAACGGAAAATGCATGTACCAGCCCCTAGAACATTGTGCCTGGCGCGAGATCCCCGTCGCGTATATCTACACCACCGCCGATATGACCGTGCCTTTGGACTATCAGAAGAACTTTGTCGAGGGCATGGAAAAGGCCGGCGTCAAGGTGCAGACGTACGAACTGGCGACAGGCCATTGCCCCAACTTCACGGCTACGGAAGCGGTGGTGGCCGTGGTCGACAAGGTTGTCTCGGAGGAGGAGAATCGCCAGTCTTGAGAGGCGTTGAGAGTGATCAGTGTGTCCCGGATACAAGATTAGAACAGGACAGCATCGAATAGATAAATGCTTTTCTTTCTCGGTTTACGCCTAAGATCTCATTTCATCCGCCTACCCACGCTGGATATGCGTCTCGCGGCGCGGGAATACCTAATACTTGTAGGTTATTAACTGTTTTGAGAAGATAACCAGAGCCGCGGACGTAGAGGGCTCTCGGGATGCTAATAGAAGCAGCAACGGAAATGGGAATTGGGATAGAGATCGATGGCCTGATTTCAATGCTCGATGCCCTTATAAGTCTATATCCTAAAGTCGTAGAATGTAAGTGCTTACGTTTTACGCAACACTAGTAAATTCACCTTTCATAGAGGTTGTCCCGTGGTGAATGATAATACAGTCTTTACCGTAGCAACCTCCAACTTCCTATTCTATGCCCGACCATTCAGTACTCTCAGAGCCTTGGTATAACAATTGACATAAAATATCTATATTCTCGCTAGCTACCTCGAGGCCTAGAGCCTCCCACGTGAGCTCTTCCTCTATTCAACAATTAGAGGTAGAATCCTGTGATATCACAACCGTGGATGGCACGCATTCCACTGCATCTTCACCCCGTACAGCTGGGTGTGCGACAATGACACCGTCGCCCACGGTGAAAATATTCATTCCCGCCCCAGAAAATACTATACAAGATCCTATGGTACCTCCAGACCCCAGGGATGCTGGCCCTTCCCAAGAGGGGAAGGCATATATCCAAGGTCCCATAGAAGCACTCCAGCCAGCTTTTCGCCGGTTAACGACTCACTCGTCTATCGCTCGCTAACCAATTCCGGCAGTCTACTCCAAAGCTCACTTGTGATCCAAATTTCCAAACATAGTCTTGCATGTATTCCTGTGGTCTCCGGCTCTGTTCTTGAGGAGTGAGATTCCGATGAGCAGGCAGAGAAGGCCCTATAAAACCCTATGTAAAGACCTCCAAGACAACGGCAGACTGAGTAAAGAAGCCTAGCCTTTTAACATGTAGAACTGAAGAACTGCATGAAGTCCTAGACACTTATAGATATTATGTGCGTGAATGGGCACCCATACTTTCTCCCTTTCTCTCTCTTTACCCTCAGAATTCTTCTGTAAATTTTGTCCAGCCGGAACACTTCCCCGTGAGAGGGAACTGTCACAAAGTCTAGCTAGGACAGGAATATAATTTCATCCTATGCAGCAATTAAACATAAAAAGGCGATCGTCAGTCCCCTAGGGAACTTGCGAACACATCTTCCCTGACTTAATCTACCGCACCCTACAATAAGTATGGTTTTCATTGGCGAAGTAATTAACAATATTCTACGTAAGAAAATTCCGGTCTACATCTCCAGGTCGGGAAACGGCTTCAAACGCCTTACCGACGTCATAGCCTCCCATGTCAACAGCCAGGATCTCACCACGATCAGGCAATCCTTCAGAAGGGAAACATTTTCGGGCCCAAAGACTTGAGGAAGATAGAAAAGTTAGTTATTACGTTAGTAATTTCGAACTTTGACACAGCAAATTTCCTAGCCATGACCAGGAACATGTCCCACAAGAGCAATGCTGATACCATCCTCCATCACTCCGCCCAAGGTCAGATTGAAGACGGTAGGAAGGTCAGAGCTGGACATGTTCCTTCGAATTATTAGTGCGGGTAGACTGCGACTTTCATACTTTGTTCCCCCACGTGAACGCCTAACTGACGGCATCCTACCGCAAGCCCGCTAAGCAAATTAAGGGACGCAGCGAACTATTCTACCTTGGATTAGAGATTACGATTGTTGTCGGAGGTTTAATCAGGGTCGTCTAGCTTTTTTCCTTTAGCCATGTGGTAAACTTACTGAAGTGTACGGCGGCTTGACCGAAGGCTGGGGCTCTTGCAGGAGTAATAAGTATTAATATCAGCAGCCGGAGCAAAGCCCGCCGAGCGGGCTCTTAATAACTGGGTAAACTGGACAACCTTGGCGATGCCAATGTTGCTCATTAAATCCTTTATTCTTCTTTTCAATCTGAACACGGTTTTCTGTCGTGCGTACCAATATTTAGGGCTATTGACGAAGCATCGGCGAAGCCTTCCTAATGCCAGTGTTGTTCGCAACCATATCTATGCACTTAGATAGACGACGCTATGCGTATTCCTATCCAGCTCGGTCATCTAGCAATCTATGGCGTGGTGGCTGCCACCACCACTAATAGTACGGTATCGTCCGGAATTTGCCTATGGACGCCATCGCAGAGAATCGAATATCCAACATGCTCTAGGCCTCGCACGTATTATCGTCCTAGTTCGCCGGAGAAGGCGTGGAGGGGCCCAGACCACTGCGTGAACAGCACGTGCATATTCTCTAACCAGCAGATAGGCGACGGCATTGTACTCATTACGTCTGAGAAGAATGCGCAGATCGCAAGGGGGTTTCCGGTCCCCAGCCGCTCCCCAGAGGCTAACGCGCCCTTCGACGTGGCGGAGGTGCCGGGAAAAGGTCTTGGTCTCGTCGCCAACAGGAAGATACCCAAGGGCGAGATACTCTTAGTCCGGCCGCTGGCTCTAATCGTGCAGACCGCTCCTCACGTGGGACTGGAGCCGGGGGCGAGGGACGCGTTGTACGATATCGCCGTCGGGCGGCTTCCGGAACGGGGACGGGAGCTATTCATGAGCCAGGTGGGGGAAAGCATCTTCGACAAGATCGAGAAGAACTGCTTCCAGCTGTACATCGACGGGAGCAACGAGTCCGGAAGCCACCTGGGCTGCTACCCCGATGTATCGCGGTTCAACCACGACTGCCGGCCGAAGTAAGTCCGCACGCTCCGCTCCTCGCCTCCCCCTCGCGGACAGCGGCGAGAGCCCCCCCCTCCCCCGTCCTCAACGCCGACCGGCGAGCGCAGACATGACACACCCGCGCTAACCGCGCCCCAGCGTGCACTACCGGCTCGCGGGGGCGACGCACCGGACGGTGGCGGCGCGCGACATCGCGGCGGGCGAGGAGCTGAGCATCAGCTACGTCGAGGTGACGCTGGGGCGGGCGGAGCGGCAGGCGCGGCTGCGGGGGCAGTGGGGGTTCGCGTGCGGGTGCGCGGCGTGCGCGGCGCCGGCAGCGGCGGCGGCGGCGTCGGACGCGCGGCTGCGGCGGATCGCGGCGCTGGAGGCGGCGCTGGAGTCGTTCGGCGGCGGCGGCGTGGCGGTGCGGGCGGACGCGGGCGCGGAGCTCGTCGCGCTGTACGAGCGCGAGCGCCTCGACGTCGGCCTCGGCGCCGCGTACACGCGCGCGGCGCTCAACTTCGCCCTCTTCGGCGACGAGCCCCGCGCCCGCGCCTATGCCCGCGCCATGCGCCTCCTCGCCGACGACCCGCGCAAGCACTGGACCTGGGGCAAGCGCAGGAAGGGGGCGGGGACGGGGCAGGGAGAGGGGGAGAAGAATGAAGAAGGTAAGAAGGAGAAGGAGGGAGGGCGGTGATGGGATGGGTTGGCGAGGTATTAGCCCGAAACAGAGTTACGAGTTTCGAATTTCTTTTGCTCAAGTTAGTTACAGCCTTGTTCTTGATTCAGGGGTATTAAACGTGGTAGCTTCGGGTTATAACCAGTTATGGTTATCCTAGCACCATGTTTATTGCCGATCCCTCTTTCTTGATCAGCCCCACAGAATATCAAGTTGGTTCCGGCCTTTTGTAGAGGTAGTTCGGTCGATCTATCTGGTCTTTGAACCTGCGAGGTTGCGTCGATGTCCTCTCAGCTTGAGATCCTTAGAGGGTTGCCTCGCCTCGGCAACAAGCTAATTAAGTAAACTGCAATCCTGTATCAGATAAAAATGGCGAGATCGGCATTGACTAGATGTGATGCTGAATTTGAGGCCTCCTAGCACGATGCGTCTACGTGGTGGCGTGTGGTAATAGACTATTACTTGCTTTGTTCGTGCAAGATTGAGGTAGCCTACGAAGGGAACTGCGTTGCGCCGTTATGTAGGTAATTGTGTGCAACGCTCGAAGTGAGCCCCTTTTCTCAACGACACTAAGACTTGTGATCATGATATCACCTACATCACTACGAGAGTTATGAGGTGCGCGGGGCTCACTAATCCGAATCGTCCTTCTCGCCACCGCTAACTACACTCGCTCTATCATTTTAAGCAAGCTCAAGGAAGTGGGTAATATTCACAAGTCGCGCCCTGGCTCAGCGCGTGCCGTGCCCACGTAGTTGACCCTGGGGCTGAGATCTAACCCCTGCTCCTTTTCAACAAGGCAGCGGGATGTAACCCTGTACAAAATTGTTGGGGACGGCTCTTCTGTATAGCTTCGTTGGATTCGAGTTCAACCGCCCCACTTACCTCGGCTCTGGGAAGACTTGGCTTGTCTGTGCCTAGGTTCGACGTGGTTAGGCGTTGTCAGATGTAGGTAGTGACGTGTGGTTAGGTAGGAATGGCTAGCCCCCGTCGCGTCTCGGATGCGACCCCTATTAGCTTCGTTGATAAATATGGGAGTCGCCTCGGCTCTCAGGCACCGTCAGCTTAACGCGCCGTATCCAACGGAGGCCGCAGTAGAATAACCCCGAACCAGCGCCATCCGTCCAACCATCCCGCCCGTCTGACTCTCTCAGTACCAGCGCTACTACCACCTGACCCAGGCGTTACTGCGGGGGACGATGTCGGCATTACCGGGGTTCACACCCATCTCAGACCGGATCTTCTTACGTGATGGAGCGCCCGGACCTGTTGCCGAGCCTCCCAGCGACTCGGCGGCCGACCACCCGACGACCATCATCATATTCGGCTGGGGCGACGGCCTCCCGAAGCACGTCTCCAAGTATGCCGACGGGTACCACAAGCTGTACCCGAAGGCGCGGGTCCTGATGGTGATCTCGTCGATCTTCGCCGCCATCTACGACTCCCTCGAGCAGCGGACGAAGTCGATGATCCCCATCATCGACACCGTCTTCCCCGTGGCTGCGGACGACGCCCGGGAGCGCGTCCTCCTCCACACCATGTCCAACACGGGCGGCATCTACGCCGCGGCGGCGCTCAACGCGTTCAAGCAGCGCCACGGCGAGGACAAGGCGCTGCCGCACTTCCTCAGCGTCAGCGACTCGACGCCGGGCGGGCTCGAGTTCTCGACCGAAGTGGGGCGGTGGTCGCGCGCGATGGCACTCGGCACCGCCAAGTGGTTCCCCTGGCCGTTCGCGGTGACGCAGGGCCTCTGGTGGGCGTTCCTGCACACGGTCAACCTGATCGAGACGGCGGTGGGCCGCGAGCCCTCGGGCAAGTACAGTTGCCGCGTCTTCCTCGAGAACTCGATGGCGACACCCCGCGCTCCGCGCCTGTACATGTACTCCAAAGCCGACGATCTCATCGGGTGGGAGGATGTCGAAGCGCACGCTGCCGTGGCCCAGAGCAGGGGATACACGACCGTCCTGGAGAGGTTCGACAACTCCCCGCACGTCGGCCACATGCGCATGCACCCGGAGCGGTACTGGAACGCGATTGAGAGGTGTTGGAAGGCCTCCATGGCCCTGGAGGCGAAGTCGTGACGGCCAGCATTCCCCCGGCCCTTGACCGCGCGGGGGGGGGGGGGGGTATTATGATCTGACGATATTGCTAATACGAATGAGCTTGGGTATTCTAATATTAGACTGGGATACGTGTAGATAGAATTGTGACTTCGACTAAGGGCACTTTGGGGGGGAATATGGTCTCCTCTAGTAATATATCTTAGAGAAAATAATATTGAAACTATAATAGATTAATAAATGCCGAATAGTGGCCGTGACGAACTCATGTTGGGAATGACTCGAAGTATTATCCTGACTATCTCGAGCCAAGGCATAACAAAATTGACTTGGGATTATGCCAAATAGACAGCAATTCAGGGTATGCCGCCATCTAATGGACAAGAGTTAAGGTATGAAGGTTTACGGCGGAGTTGAGTCAACATCAAGACGACGGCGGACACCCAGGCCTCTGTCAGGTGAAGACGTAAACGTCTACATCTCCCTCGTAAGCTATGCGGGCTTATAAGGTAGGATTTCCTAGGCGACAGCTTCCTGGAGCATCAATTCGCGAATCCTTCCCTCTAACTCGTTTATAATATGATCGAAGATGGCGGGCTGGAGCTCCGGATCGCAGAGATCTTCCTTCGCGAGCCCGAAGTCGCAATTGATTAGCTTCTTCGTCGCGTTCATGTACGACTTCCCAAGGTTGTTGCATGTTGCCACCTTTTGGTGAACCTGCTTGGGGTCCCCATAAGGCACGCGTTCTCACAGACCGATCTGAAGTAAGGCGACACCCAGCTCATACAGGATCAGGTTTCGTACGCCATGAGTCAGCATCGCGTCCTCAACTAACTTGGGCGGCAGAAAACTAGTCCGATCATCTTTTATGTTTTTAGATTTAGAATTGGATTTGGCGTCCGCTCGAGTCACTGCTTCGAGCTTTATCGGAATGTGGAGTGTGTTAAGAGAAGCACATAAGTCGATGTTGTATCTCCCGAAGACATGGACCTTTTCGAGCGTGCACCCGCCTCGTTACTTAATTACCTCCGTAATATAGGTAAATGAATAATAAATAAAATAACGTAATTATAAACTTACGAAACGTCGAAGTACTACTATATAACTATCTAAAGAAAGGATAAATAATTAATAGAATTATAGCTATTTACGTAGCCTTTTACGAGCTGTTTTTCGTACCTTTTATCTCCCGATTAGCTGCTACCAGGGTTGCAAAAAAAAAGTTTTTAAGTTAAGTTCGGGCCGAACCTAACTTAACATAAGCAATTTCGAACTTAACTTAAACTTAACTTAAAAAAAAAGTTTTCTAGAAAAAAAACTTAACTTAACTTAAACTTTTTTAAGAAAAACTTAACTTAACTTAAACTTTTTTAAGAAAAACTTAAACTTAACTTAAAAACTTAAACTTAACTTAAAAACTTAAAACTTAACTTAAAAAACTTAAAAAAATTTTAAATATTAAGAATTTTTAAAAAATTTTCTTTTAATACTAATTATAATTATAATTATAATTATTATTAATATAAAACATTTACTTTATTTTTATTATATATTTTTATATTTATATTATTATTAAGAAATAGTTTTAAAATTTTAAAATTTTATATTTATATATTTAATTTTATATTTTACTAGTTTTTCTTTTTATTTCAACATTATATATATTTATTATAACTTCATATTATATTTTAGTAGTTTAATATAAGTGAAATAGTATTAAAAGAATCTAATAGTAAGGTTTTTTAAAAAAAGAATTTATAAAAGAAACTTAAACTTAAAATCTTGATATTAAAATTTATAATGAGGAGGAGCAGAGCGTACGCGATATTAGAGACCCGGATAGGTTCACTCGAAAGTATATTCTATCGAAGACTATAGTACGTACGATGGTCTAAGATGGATGAAACTAGTATCGCTATACTAATCGAAAGGTAAGGAATTTAATGTAGTTATCGTATCTTAGCTGTGCCCCTTAGTCGTAGAGATATAGTAGTCGCTAGCTCGAAGGCATAAGAGGTAAGGGGAGAAAAGGGGTAATGATGGTCTGTTCAGTAATCAAGGGTAGCGCAAGTACTTCCGTACTTGCGTGGCATATAAGGGACGGCTCCCCCGTCCTACTCTTAAATAAATAGCTCCTGGATTAAATATCTTAATATAACCAGTCTTACTCCTATTATTTCCTACCTACTTATTATTTACTTTGCTTTACGTACGTACCTATTAATATTAATTAGTATTATTAGACTTAGTAATATAGATTAGTAAGGTTAGAAGAGTTATTATTACTTAATCGGAAGAATTACTATTACCGTAGTAATATAAGCGATACTAATAATAAGAAACCTTTCATTACTATTCGTAATCGCGAAATAAACCTTCTTCCTATCTCTTTCTTTATTATATCCCGATTATAATATTTTAATAACTCTATCCTATACTCCCTATAATAATTAAGATATCGGAAGGAAAATAACTAGAGATATCGACCTAAGGAGCTAGCGGACGACGAATAAAGCCGGAGTATAACGAACCCGAAAATCCTACCCCCGTACTGTAGTAGTGCGGTAAGACATGCCCTCTTAATGTATTACGTGATACGCTACGATAGGCCTTATGCCTATATAGAGTAACCATAGCTCCCGTAAGTACGGAATATACTACGCTTATTATCGAGTTTATTACCTAGCTAGATTATTATCTTTATTATTTTTACCTTAATTAAAGATTCGTTTTTATTATTAGATTCGTCGTTCTCCGATTAATATATTTATTTTAATTATAGGCGCTTAAGTTACTTCGTCGTACCGCTATAGCCGAATAAGTAACTTTTGCGTTTTACTTCTTTTTTCCCCTTACCTCTTATGCCTTCGGGCTAGCGATTATTATATCTTTACGATTAAAGGACATAGCTAAGATACGATAACTATATTAGATTCCTTGCCTTTCGATTAATATAGCGATACTAGTTTTATCCGTTTTAAACCATCGTACGTACTATAGTCTTCGATAGAGTGTACTTTCGAATAAACCTATCCGGGTTTTTAGTATCGCGTACGCTTTACTCCTCCTTAGTAGCGACTACCTTATAACTTTTTCGACCCTTTAACCTTTAGTTTACGGAGTTTCTATTACGCTACTAGGATTTAAAGGATACCGATCGCCGTCGGCGCTACCATTTAACCCGCGAAGTAGCCCGCGTTTTACGTTAAATAAAGTATCCCGTTTTATAGTTATTCATTTACTATAGGAAGGTACGTATAAGCCCGGGAACCTTTACTACGATACCATAGCCGTTAGGATATTACCTAGCCCTTAATACTTATAATATTAATAAGCTATCGATACTACGATATAATACGACGACTAAACCGCGTTTATACCGATTAGGATATCCCTCGTATCGTTATTTACCTATTTATACGGAGGAACCCGTAAGCCTAGGGAACTATCGTCGTAATACTACCGTTACTAGGGATAGTACTTAGCCCTCGATATTAATCGCTCCCTCGAACCGCTAATAATATAATATATCTCGTACGAGTAAATAAAACTCGTAGCGATTAGGATAGCCCCCTTATAGTTATCTACTTACTATATAAAGGACGTACGAACGCCTTAATATAAATTACGATAACTTATACGACCCGTTACTCCCTTATTAATACTAAGGGCGGATAAAGGCTAATAGTAATTATACCTTAGCCGACCTTACGATAGCTTCTTTTTCCCTTTAAACCTATTAATCGATATAAACTAAATATATAAATACTAATAACTTATTATACTAGAGTTATTTTAGGATACCTAAGCGTAGCGACTCGACGATATAGTATACGATATAATATGGATATTTATATTAATAGTATAGATAGAAATTAATAGATTAATAGCTACTAATAACCGATAGTTTTAAAGAAAACTAGGAATTAATATTAATAGGACTACGTAAATATAAAGGATTAAGGAAACGGAACTAGAGTCGAGCTAATAAGTATACCTATATATAGGCTGGTTTTATATTACTAACTAATAGCTAGTATAACGAGAAGTATTAATATAGGCGTAAAACGGCGCTTAGCGGTAATACCGTTAATACTATTAAATAACCCCCGATAAATCGAAACCGGCCTATGGCTATAACCGGTATCGTATCTAGCGCGATCCTTTACTCGGGATCTATCCCTTATACGTATTACTTTAACGAAGGTTATACGTTAGGAGTTTTAGACCTTAATAAGAGGAATTATCGTCGACTTATTTATAATAATTAAACTATTAGTTTAGGGAATACGTATCGTACTTTAGTTAGGCGTTAGCCGATTAAAGAAGCTCGTATAATACCCGGATTTTATCGATCGGGATAATATAATAAATAATAACATACCCATACCAGAGGAAAAGTATTAGGATATAAATAATAACTATTATACCTTTACCCTTATATTAAATAATAAGACCCTTACTACCTCCCTTTTTACTTTATACCTCGTACCGATAAACTAAACGGAGTCCGTAACTAGGAAACGAAGTAAATCGCCGTTAAGACCCGAAGTAATAAAGACTAAACCACTAGTAAAGACCTTAAGAATCGATACTAGCTTTCCGCCCTTATATCCGCCCGAAGAAAAGAAGGACGACGATAAAACTCCTACTTAGCTACCCCTTACCCGCGGCTCTATACTTATTCCGCTAATCCTTATGGTATTATCTTAAAATAATAATAACGGAGCTTCTAGTAGCTAAAATATACCGGTAGCTACCCCGATTATCGTAATACTAGCTATTAAATTCCCTAACCTTATCGATTACCCTAGGCTTAAGTTTAATAAATATAATATAACTTAATAGCTAGAAAGGGTAAATCGATTATTTAACCGTTACCGTATAAGCGACGACGATAAGATTAAGAAGATCGGCGAATGGATTACGACTAAGACCATTAGGGAGCGTATTAACGACGTTACGAAGGATTAAACGATTTAGAAAGTTATCGTTATAGCCTTAAAGTACCGTTTTAGGATTACCGATAAACTAAGCTAAGTTAACGTTAAACGTAAACTCGTATAGCTAGAACGAGGTAACGTAATTAACGATCCTAAGGCGATTTTTACGTATCTTATAAACCATAAACGCCTTTCCAAGCTCGTAAACGATAACGGAAAGCTTCCTTAGAAAGTAAAATACCTAACCGATAAACTCCGGATATCTTTAATTATAAAGTTCTATAAGACGGGAAACTAT